AAATAGTGTTTCTTTCAGACTTTTTTTCTCCGGGCGAAAAGGGGGGAGGGCGCCTGACACTGATAAAAGTATACATTTTCTACATAAATAGTATTTTGTTCGGGGGAGGGGATGGGGCTCTGCCCCCCCCCCCTTACCCTGGGGCTCTGCCCCCTCCCCCCCCCCCCCCCCCCCCACTACCCAAAGAGATGCCTAAAAGAAACTCTTCATGTAGACCACTTTGAATAAGATTAGACAAATAAATTAGACTTGAAAAGCTGGTTCCAAATTTGTGTTGCCAGAAAACATATTTTTTAACAAAAATTGAATAATTTATAGCATTTGTGTAATAAGTACAAAATTACTTCAGGTTTCATTAAGGCTAGAAATAGTCAAAGAAATAATTACTAGTAATATAATAGTAATTTACCAACACTTTTATTTTGAATTTGGATTAGTAGAGTCAGGGTTTTGTGGTGATTGAGAATGTTTAATTATTGAAACAAAATACAATGCTACGCGATACACTATCCGGGTCACACCATTTAGGGGGTGACAACAAGGCAAGAAAAAATTTACAAATGTACAAAGAAAAATGCTTTTTGCCAGTTCCATTAACGATTAATTAAAGTTCAATAGTCTTTTAAATTTAAATCAACAAGTATTACAAGAGGATGGGGGCGACACCCTGACATCAACGTGCTAACTATAGAGAAAGCAATGCTACATCCAACTTTATAATTAACAGACTATAGATAGACATCGTTACTATTAAGTCTGTCTACAGTGATTAAAGCTTATGTGGTATATATTTTAATTATATCCCTACTTAGGCCGACACACACACATATACACGTATATATAAATAAATAAGTTTATATATATATATATATATATATATATATATATATATATATATATATATATATATATATATATATATATATATATATATATACTTCGTTTCTTGTGGGGGAGGGGGTGACACCACTAAGTGCCGCACCAGGTGACATCCGACCTTGGGACGCCACTAAGATCACTATTGTGTATTTTTTATTATGGAAAACAATTGTTATAACTTTTATTGTTTTACTCTCCCTGGCCATTCCGGTTGGCTTCAAGAAGAGGTCGAGGGCAGTTGTTAAAATATTTGAATTGGTAAAATTATTCTAAACGGCTTCTTAACGGCTTATATTCGATACAAAAATATATAAATGAGTGCAATCGATGGTTCCCAAACGGCTTTAATTTTTACAAATATAACTATAATTGTATCGCTTGCCATATATTTTAAAATATTTTTTTCTAAAATATAGCTTGATTACATAGACTTTCGATGACGTCATTATCAGAGTTTCTTCCAGGCATCTCTTCGGGCAGACCCCCCCCCCCCGAAGAAAGTCTACCGCCCCCCCCCCCCCCCCCCGAACGAAATGGAATTTATATAGAAAATATATACATCTTACAGTGTCCCCCTCCCCCCCCCCCGAATAAAGTAAGTCTACCTCCCCCCGCCCCCCCCCCCCTCCCCGATAATTTCAAGTGACCCCCCACCCCCCGGAGAAAAAAGTCTGGAAGAAACACTGGTCATTATTGTTATGGTATTAGATTTATTTACTCCAGAATCAATGATGTCATTCTTTTTCGTGCAGCTTTGAAAGAAACACCGGTCGCATTATTTTTGTAGACCATGCAGATGGGGGACGGGACAGGACATAAGGTTTGACTCGAGGCATAGAAAAAAACATAAAGATTTACATGGGAAGAATTAGCCTAGGATAGTGCTTGGCATTATGAAGTTGAGGCCTAATAAAACATAATGATTTACAAGGAATTTACAAGGAATTCGTTCTAAAAAAAAGGGGGGAGGTTAATCAAGAGTTCACCTTTGGAGCTACGTGCTAACATTCAACAAAGAGTTTCAAAACTGTTTGGTCCCCGGCTACACAATCTTCTACACAATCTCCTACACAATCTCCTACACTATCTTCTACACTATCTTCTACACAATCTCCAACACAATCTTCTACACTATCTTCTACACTATCTTCTACACAATCTCCTACACAATCTCCTACAAAATCTTTTACATAATATTCTTCACAATCTTCTACACAATCTTGTACACAATCTTCTGCCTTTTAGTGATAACAAGTTCATGATACTAAGAGTCGTGTTGAAGAAAAAGTAACTTTAGAATTGCAGTTTCAGTGCTATGCAAACTTGCGAGTATGCTTATTTTAAAATATACATTTATTATTTAAAACCTGAAACCTAGAGTTATTTCATTTTTTGTTCTCAGTTGTGTCCCCTGTTGACCTAGTGTCGTCTCAAGCGGGATAACCCAACGGCGAGCAGACGCAACAATTAAAATTCCGTTCTGCGCCAGACGAGAAAAATGTCTGCAGCTCTCGTGAGAGCACCGTTCTGCTACGTGTTGCCGTGGCAACCATCTCACACTGGCACCACTCACAAAAAAGAAGGTGAGGGAGGGTGGGGAACTCTTCGGTATTAAGTTACAAACTACTTTGTACTTGTTAAATGTTTTCATTCACTTCGCAGGCTTTTCGGCAGATTTTTTCGCGTTTAATTTCTAATACAATAGTTAAAATAAATAGTGCTGAATTTAAGCTAAAAGAAATGTTTAACATCAACTTAAGAAGAACTAAATAATTAATGTTGAACAAAAAAAAATGCAAAAAACGTTAACACGATGAAAAAAAAATCCGACACACATTTTTTTTTTTACAGACTAACTTCCAGATGGTTTTTATTAGGGTGGGTGTCCATGGGAAAATGTATTTTTGATACAAAATGGGAGTAGTTCGGTGTTTTCTTTTCTTTTTCTTCCTGTATGCAAATAACTTGCACCGTTGTAGACACTGGATTGGTTGAGAGAATCACACACAACACGTCATCAAGCAGACCGCCATATATCAATACTGACACGTGACCTACACGCACCAATCATACATCAGCTTTTTATTGTGTTGTGTAAGTTGTGTTGACCGAGGCACAATAACTGTGTTCGTTGAGTTGTTGTTTTTTTTTGGTTGGAAGTGTTAGATTTTTATTTAAATGTCATAGAAATCTTTAAAGTAGATTTGAAAACGTTACAAAATAACGGTTGGATCAGCAGAATTATACAACTCAACACATGCTTGAATTGTCCTTATTATAGCTGACACACTGAAATTGAACTACCGTAGTTTTAAATAATAAATAGGCCTATAGTTAATACTATTTACTATTTATAATATAATTATTAAAAAAAAAATATAGTCTATATGAACACGCAAGAAATGGATATTAAGACAGCGTTAGAGTTAGATTCTAGTGCCTACATTTTCTCTTGTACATCTGCATCCTAAGTGCTTACCTCAATGACGGCACATGCCAATTTTTCAAGCACTATTGAACATGGTTCATGTTTCTTGCTTTGTTTCATGTTGTTTCTTTTGTATCTGTATCTATTCAGTTATCTTTTGTTTGTATCATTCATTGCTAATGATGAAAAAAAAGTTCTAATATCAACCTACATGTCATCAGTATCGGATTCCCGCACCCCCCCCCCCCCCCCCACCCTCCGACCCCCCCCCCCCCCCCACGCCCCAAAAAGTGTAACCCCAGTGGTTATCATTTGGTGAATCTCAACACAAGGCTCACAATTCAACTTGACATAGCTTTAAACTTTAACGCGATGTGAATTTAAGGTTAACACTTAACCTCAAAGTTAACCCTGATGTTAGATTCATAGTTAACCGCGGTGTTAGTCTAGACGCTAGGCCAATATATCCCGCCTAATTAAAATACAAACCGCCATATCGGGGATAGGCCTACAACTTTGGGATAGGCCAACAACAGCGGGGATAGGCCTACAACTTTGGGATAGGCCAACAACAGCGGGGATAAGCCTACAACTTTAGGATAAGTCTACAACTTTGGGATAGGCCTACAACTTTGGGATAGGCCTACAACAGTGGGGATAAGCCTACAACTTTGGGATAGGCCTACAACTTTGGGATAGGCCAACAATAGCGGGGATAGGCCTACAACTTTGGGATAGGCCAACAATAGCGGGGATAGGCCTACAACTTTGGGATAGGCCTACAACAGCGGGGATAAGCCTACAACTTTGGGATAAGCCTACAACTTTGGGATAAGCCTACAACTTTGGGATAGTCCTACAAAGTTTTCAAAAGCAGGGATAGCTGTTCTGTCAACCATCTTTACAACGTTGAAGTTTCGTGTAAAAAAAAATTGTATTTCAAATTTTAGCTGACGCTGTTTGCCAACATTTTTAGGTCGAGAAACCGCCCTGTACCTAAATTGTTGACCGTAACTTTACCCGTTGCCTACATTTCTAGATTCTATTTTTTTTCTTTCTTCGCAAGCTCTTTTGGGTTTATCTCCCTTCAACAGTATTCATTCTTATCTCCCCTATATTCAAGACTCGGAGTTTTGCTGGCTAATGTACTTCTCTCCCCTTCTTTCGCCGGGCTGTATACAAATAAAAAAAAACATTAAATCGCCTCTCTTGGATACTTGCATCCTGCTACATCTGCACTAAAGAGGTCCCAATCATTCGCTCTTTTCGGCCATTTACTTTTTTATAAGTATTCTTTCAGTACCCTATACTAAAATAAGATTACTCAAAAGGTCTGTATATTACCTCCCCTTGACAACAAAAACACACACTTGTCCGTACCCCCTCCCCCTCCTCTTCATCTTTCACCAGGGAGATGGAGAGTCTCTCCTAAACCAAAATAAAACATTCTCTCTCCATCCTCCCCTACCCGGCGCCCCCTCCCCCACCCCCCTCCCCTACCCTGTAACCCACCACAACTCCCATAATACCCCGCACCTGTCTGGAACCCGATGCCATCTTGAAAAGAAATCAGACTGGCCACGCCCATTTTTCCCCCAGCTCCTCCTCCCTAACCCCTCGAATGTAATCTCCCTTCCCATTGGCTGGTCCCGTGCAACCATTACACGCAAGCATCATCGCGAGCCTCTATACTTGCATGCAGTCTCCAAGACTGCACAAGTTCTTGGTGTTTAGAATTCTCATCATCGGCAGCAGTAGATTCTGTCTACGGCTCGCCGACCCACATTCAACTATAAACAAATTCTCGGGAGAATCTTACCATTCTAACACCGCAGACGGCGCTCTGCAGGAAAAAAATTGTTGTTGGCGTTTGCTGGACGTCGACGCCGCTGTGGTGGGATCCGTTCCTCGTCTAGTTTGATGTAGTGACGGTCGAGGGTCCACTTGAAGAAATGGCCCCCGGGGCGAAATGGACGGAGTGTGGACTGCTGCTCACGCTGGCGTTCGCAGCCTCCATTTATGCTGCTCCCTCGCAGGAAATTAAATCTGGTGAGTTCAGCTTTCATTCCTAGTTTTTGTTTACGATTTGGTGTTTTTTTAGTGTTATTCTTAATATTTCTGTACATTTTATTCCTGGTGATTCTAACACCATACGGCTCAGTAACCAATATTTACATTGTTTTCAAAACAAATCACAATCACTCACCTGATAAATTTTCTCTGATACTTGAAAACGTTGTTTAAATAACACTGAGGACATATTGACAATGGCATAGCAAAAAAAAAAATTTGAACAAAGTGTCTGTGTTTACTTATTGAATGAACTGAATTTTTGTTTTGATGAAAGCATTTACGGTTAGCAAGTAACTTAAATTGTACTGACCATGGAAGTAGCATTGTGTTTTCTTATTTAGACTACCCACATTCTCACATAGATTTTTTTTAAATAAGAGTTCAAAACATTTCGTTTAAAACTCACGGTAAATGTTACGAGAAAGTTCAACGAACTACGTTACTAAAAACGCTTGCTCAGCGAAGCAGTACGGAAGAATGCGAGTACTCAAAGATAAAGCACACATCTCCTAGCTGAGTGGGTTTTTTTTACAGCTCATATTAAGCCTGGTGTACGTGTAATGTTATATGTTTGAAGATATAGCTGGTAAATAAAAAAGTATGTGTGTCCATTTGAAAGGGGGGGGGGGGGGGTTCGTTATAAGTAACGTGTAACAAAGTGTCATATCAGAATGTAAGCGGTAATGACAAATATAAACACAGCATTACACCTTACTCTTATAACTATCTACGTTCGCCTACGAAATTAGCTCAGGACAGAAAATTACTTTTCGCGCAAAGCATCCGGTACCCATATGTCCTGTACGATTACTTCCCCCTTGCTAAAATACCTTTTATTTTCTTTGAAAAAAAAATCTTATTTTTATATCAGGTCTGCTCCCCCCGCCCATCCCTTAGCTCCACGCACAAATAAACAGACGTACCTTCTCGCGAGGTTCGCGAACTCACCTGAGACTTCTGCTGCGGCCACCGTCATAACAAAATAAAACGCTTACCTGGCAAGTTCTCACGTGCATAGCTTAACTGGCAAACCTAGATAAAAAAAAAATTAAGACAAATTTCATTTTATAAAAAAAAACTCCCACAAAGTTATTCATTAAATGTAGAACTATAGAACTAGTGAAGTTTAAATATAGGTTGACATCTTATATACCATCAATACATCGTCTTTTAATGTTGATATATCAAATATCAACTCTTCAGATACCTTAGTGTTTACAGTGCAGCTTTACCAAACACCGATCAACTCTACTTTACATTCACTTGTTTAAAGTTAGCTATTCACATTTACGTCAAGCTTACCACAAAAAATGCTAGATCTGAACTCAAACACTTGAACAACATCCCCGATGTGACTTCCTTATTTACCAAACGCTTCCTGTTATTGTGAACGTGCAGTTTTGATTTTGGCACTTGGTTAGGTTATACACGGATATACCAGGTTATACCAGGTTATACCCGGTTATCCCAGGTTATACCATACAATACCACCACTATTGCTTTGTGTTGATCTGGTTAAACCTCTACCTACATGCGGTCACCTAATAATTAAGCCTAACGCCAATGATGTAATGAAGCCTTACACCAATGATTTAATTAAGTCTTACACAAATGATGTAATTAAGCCTCATACCAATGATGTAATTAAACAACACCAATAATTAAAATAACACCAATGATGTAATTAAACCCAACACCAATAATTTAAATAACAAGAATGATGTAATTAACACCAATGATGATCTTGTAATTTAGACTCAGATTACGATTCGTTGTGTGAAGGCTAACACACACACACACACACACACACACACACACATATATATATATATATATATATATATATATATATATATATATATATATATATATATATATATATATATATATATATATATATATATATATAACTTTAATGTAGGCAAATTAACTGATCATCTGACTAATATTTCGACAACCAAAAAAAATATGTCAACACAAATAACAATAAGTCAATGAATACCAGCTTGGTTTAAAACTCATGACCACAAATATAAGATCATCACAGAGCAGGGCGACCTGATAGTAAATTACGTCGAATTTGTGTTTATACTAAATTCTTTTAGAAGTCGGACACTCAATTGTAGCTTTAAGCTTAGAAGATTTGAAACACCAATCTCTCAGCCCTGCTGTCTATTTTATATACATCTAGTGTTTGACAAAAATCATTAACAGTGTGGTGTTATAGAGATGGTCCATACATAACAACACATACTTGTAGAAAGTTGGGTGTGGTGGGGGGGGGCGGTGTTAAGACTACGTTGGAAAGGGGTGTTGAGGGGGGGGGGAGAGATGTGGTTTTTCATATATTTTGTATGTATAAATAAAAATGGTGAGAAAAATCTTACATTGTATGGAAGTAGGTGGAAGTTTGTGGCGTCACATCATGACGTAGCCTCTAGCAATTTAGGGACGACCTCGTACTTTAGGTAAATTCCCATAGGTTGTATAATCTAGCCCTTTCAGCTCTAAAGGATACCCAGCAATCCTGTAGAGAAGTCACCTAATTCACACGACAACCAAAGATTTGAGGGAATTTATTTGAACTTAACTTTTTGAATAATGAGGAACACACTTTTACACATCAAAGTTGATCTCATTTGTCTTCGGAATTAATAAAGGAACATAAAATTCCCCGTAAAATTAATTGATCTTCTTTTCTTAAGCACTAAAAACAATCTCCCATATAAAAATTTTAGTGCTTTTATCTTCTTCATACACAGAGCCTACAAAAATTAAAAAAATTACAATTACAAAGTGTAATTCTTACCGATTTTCCCCTTTAATCTTTTTATGGTAGAAAAAATTAAAATTAAAATTTAAAAAAATGTTCATATATTTCAACTGAATCATTGGGTTGTTGTGTCGTCAGGTTGAAGAAAATGAGAACCATTACCCAATCAAACTTCACCTCTCTTTATTCACATTCCCACAATTCACCTCGCACTCAAATATTTGGGTTTTTCTGTTATTTTTTTCTTGCTGCCGTCCCTTTAATCTGAACTAAGATGTAAGACTCTTTACATCGCTACTCGGTGAGGGGGGGTGGGGGGGGGGGGGGGGAGAGAAAAAAAACATTGCTGCGCTGTGAGAATTCTGGCATACGTGGCACCGTCAGCCATCTTGGAACTTCAGGTTAAGTGTAGTTGGGCGTTGACTGCCAGTCATAACACACACGCACACACACACACACACATAGACACACACGCATAGACTCACACACACACGCACATTCTATTGTTGATTCAGCTTTTATTCCCTTGCCCGTGACTAATGGAAACAAAATGTAACTTTGCCATTAAAAAAAAACTAGGAAAACTGGACCTCATTTTACTTTTAAGAAGAAAAAAAACGTGTTTACATAATTCAAACATGAAATAATTTAAATGTAAATAAATTATTTTAATCAAAGTAGATTATTTATTGATGATTCAATAGGTCGTTACGGGTATTGCTTTTTCATCTTGTAATAAAATTAACTTTTTTCATATATTTGCTTTTAAACTTCTGAATTTGACGTCACCCCTCAGTGAAGGAATATGACGTCACATACTTTAACCGACTATTGATAAACGTGACCACAAAATGTCCAATCGCCATCAAATGACATAAGGAAAGTCCCACCCACTGTCTTTCCTTCAAATCTTGACACCCCCCCCCCTCCCACATACAGACACAGACACGTACACTTGTACACTCAGGAGTGTAAGTACATGCGGAACCAGGTTTTCAGGACAGGGGCAGGGGGGGGGGGGATGGGTGATGGTCAGCGATGGCATAAATAGACACCAACTTATAACTTTATATCACTTTTTTATATCAAACTGTCAATATTAGACGATGAATATTTTTTAACTAAAAAAATCACGAACAAAGTTCCGTGCTAAAAAAATGTGTCTCAGCTACACTGTGTCGTTATTAGTGCAGTATTTCAATTCACTATGTCTCAATGAAGGAGATCTTAAACACACTGGGAGATTTAGCCATCTATTGGACCACCTAGGAATTGTCTTTAATTGATGCCCCACTTCTGGGGGGTAGAAAATTTTGTGACGAAGCTGGGAGGGGAAATAATTTTAAAAAACGTGAAAGCTCATTTTTTTATTGTTTGAAAGTTTTTTTTAAACTGAATTCAAGCTGTTAAATTGGCATTTCTTTATTTCGTGCATTCTAATAAAGATTGATTAAAGACATCAGGGTTGGTAAAGCCTATCAGAAATTAAATAAGTTTTAGCGATATTATAGACAAAAACTACTTTGCTAGCAAAACAATTTTAAAATTTCTACATACGAAGGGGAAATAACTCAATAAATCTTTTCAATTCTTAAAGAAATGACGGGTTCTAAGGATTAAAATTTAATACTGGTTTAGGGGTTGGTGAGAAATGGAGAAGTATGACGCCATAATTATATGGGGGGGTCTAATTATTGTAACAATGAAGCATTGGGGGGGGGGGGGGGTAATTAGGCTATTAAAAGCCTAATGCCTCTGTTTTCTTGTTTTGTTGAATATGTAAAGGGGACGCCACTCGCACTCTTTAGTATTACCAAATTATCTATCTTTATCTTTATTCTTTAAAAGTCTCTTTTTAAACATTTGTGTAAGACTTTTGTTTCTTATTTATTTGTCTACTTTGATTTGTTTTTAATTCTTAATTCAATTTTTTCTAAGTTCTAGATCAAAAGTTGTTTAGCATAATTTAACTAATTAAATAATCCCAAATTTCTCTATGATTCTCCTCAGGTTGTTCCCACAATGGAATACAATATTTACACGAGGACGTCTGGTACCCTCTAGACAACGACTGCCTCCAGTGCCGATGTTTTGATGGAGAAGTCAAATGCAACTTTGTACCTTGCGATAAGTTTTGTAAGAAACTCATTCACACATTTCAGTAAATTTTTAATAGTAAATATTAATTAACATTAGACGTAATTTAGTTCATTAAAAGTAAAACTGGCTGTTTATTTTGTAAGCTTTGTAATAATTACTTTTATTTATTAGCCACGGGGCCTATGTTTTAAACAAAAATAAAAACTGTTTTATTCACTCTATGGATTTACTATTTATGAAATATATCTACCACAGCACACACAACAAGAACAAATATCATACTAGAAAGTGGCAAAAAAAAATAATTTCCCTTAGGCTTGTATTACTTTTATTAATTTTTTTAAAATAATCCTGTACAAATCTTCTGACAATAAAGGCCTACCATTTCAATGCTTAAAAAATTATGCTGGAATATACCATTTTTTTTTATAAAAAATAATCCTAAAATATTCCATTTCCTTCACAGCCTCAGCTGAATCAAGGGCATCGGTAAGAGAAAATAATTCTTTCTGGTCTATAAAAACTGAATTTAAAAAAAAATTAAGATACATTTTTTTAAATATATCAAAACTTAACTTGTAACTGCATAGTTATCTTTCTTTAAAATATATATTTCAGATTTCCTTTAAAATCATTTCCTGTAAAATTATTATATTTGAATTTTTAAAATATTTTTGCAGACACATGCAGAAGGTATAGAAGCACTGCAGGTATGTTGTCGATTTTTGCTTGGATAATATTTGTTACCCTAGAAAACATTGTTGGTTATGGTCACATTAACTTGGCCATGGACATGTTATATTAGAAAATAGTCATGCTACATTATAGAACAGACATGTTACATTAGGGAATCATCATTTTAGATTATTTATTCTAGAAAGATAATTAAAAGATAAAGACCCTGAAATATTTTATTCTATTTGATTTAATCCTTTACGTGTTACATTTTTTTTAATTTACCAGGGTCAACCAGGAGATAAAGGCCCTGATGGCTATCCTGGCAGACAAGGTGAAACTGTAAGTTCATGGTTCAAGACACAATCTCCAACATCTGTATAATTCATCAGTGATACATATTTCAATCATAACATATTAGATGTATTTTTAATATTTATTTTTTTCAAAATTAAAACAAAGCCAGATTTAAATTCTAAAATTAAAATAAAATAAAACTTATAGCAACAAAATAACCATGTCAATAACTGTAACAATATTTATGCACAGGGTGACCATGGTGCTGATGGGGTTAATGGCATTCCAGGCTCAACAGGCCCAGCTGGTAATCCTGAAATGGTTGGTAATTTTTATTTATTTTTTTATTTTTGTCTCCAGCTATACAGTATTTTATAGGAAAAACATCACTTATATAAAAATAAATAAAACTAAAATAAAATGTTACACTAACATGTGCATATTCTGCTTAACTCAATGATTTCTTTTTAAAATTCATTTTATATATTTTTGTTTTACAAAAAAAGGAAACAACTGTTTTATATATATTTTTAGACTGCTGACGAAGCTTACAGGTCTTACTACCCCAACAGCTTCTCTGAAAAAGCTGGCCCAGTTTATACACAGAACTTCCTTCAAGCTCAAGTTGTAAGTTAATTTTCATTCTATTTATAGCTTTCTCTTTCTACTAATCTATTAATAATTTTTTAAAATCCCTTTATATTTTTTCAATGTAAAAGTAATTTAAAAATGTTTTTGATGGAATTAGGGTCCAATGGGACCACGCGGTCCAAGTGGTCCTCCCGGCGCTCCTGGACCTCAGGGTCAGATGGGAGCAAGAGGAGATTCTGGTGACCCCGGCCCACCTGTGAGTCTTGGTTGTTTTTTTTTAATTTAATTTCACATCACCCAGCAGTAAAGAACATAATTTTTAATGTACATCACTCAGCAGTTAAAAAATAATTATTACTGTACACCACCCAGCAGTAAAAAACATAATTATTACTGTACATCACCCAGCAGTTAAATAAACAATTTTTAATGTACACCACCCAGCAGTTAAAAAATAATTATTACTGTACATCACCCAGCAGTTAAAAAATAATTATTACTGTACATCACCCAGCAGTTAAAAAATAATTATTACTGTACATTACCCAGCAGTAAAAAACATAATTATTACTGTACATTACCCAGCAGTAAAATAAACAATTTTTAATGTTCATCACCCAGCAGTAAAAAAATATAATTACTAATTTACATCACCCAGCAGTAAAAAAAAAACAATTATTATACATCACCACCCTTAGAACTACTGAATTAATGAACATAATTTATCCAACCATTTCACGTCTTCAGGGACCAAGTGGTACACCAGGTGCCCCAGGCCCACCCGGACCCTCTGGACCAGAGGTAAGACTTGTCAATACATTTTATAAAGTAAAGCTAAGTAAGACTTGTCAATACGTTTTATAAAGAAAAGCTTGGGGGGAGGGGGAGAGGGGGTCAAGTGTGATGTTATTACTTGCCAAAACGGGGCAGGGAGTGGGAACAGAATCAGCACAAAAAATGTAACATTGTGCATACAATGACTTATTAGCTGCTTATAACGTCCCATTTAGGGTACCTACACTAAAACAAAAATATAGAAAAATTTAACCATTAAATTAACATTTGTGTCCACTGACAGGGTGACACTGGAAGAAATGGACAGCCAGGTGCTGCTGGAGCTCCAGGTCCCAGAGTAAGTTCTTGGTTTCTGACATTTTAGTTCCAGGTCCTAGAGTAAGTTCTTGGTTTCTGACATTTTAGTTCCAGGTCCTAGAGTAAGTTCTTGGTTTCTGATATTTTATCTAAGACTTTTGGAAGTCTTCTAACTATTTAGCTCCAGGTCCTAGAGTAAGTTCTTGGTTTCTGACATTTTATCTAAGACTTTTGAAAGTCTTAAACTTTTTAGCTTCAGGTCCCAGAGAAGGCCCATTATTTCTTTTTCTAACATAAATTAAAAAGACTTCTTTAATTGAGTCTCCTAACATTTTTCTGTCTTATTCAATTAGTTAGTTGAAATGGTTTTGGTTAACGGAATATTGTTTTTCACACAGGGACCTGCTGGTGCAGCAGGCATGCCTGGTATGCCAGGGGCCAAAGGTCACAGAGGTTTCAATGGATTCCCTGGCAAGAGAGGTTCAGAGGGACAAGCTGGTGAACCGGTGTGTAGAAAAAAAAATCTTTTAATATTTATCATTTGTTTGTGAACAATTTTATTTAGAATGGAGTCTGCTTCATTATGTTGACTTTAAAAATTTTGAAACAAAGAAAAACTTTCTTTTTCTTCAATTTTAAATTAAACCTGAAGTATTGTGAAACCAGAGTATAAAATGTCCACTTGCAAGAATCTTTAGTTTAAAAGTTTAGTTTATTCTTTATGTTTTGTTTAGGGAGATGTTGGGCCACCAGGTCCATCTGGACCAGTTGGACCACAAGGAGCACGAGGTGCCCCAGGAAACAGAGGTGATGACGGATCTGCAGGTCCTCAGGTAAGTGTGTTTGTTTTTTTACAAAACTTTTTCAGCAAGCTGTCAGGTATGTGTGGGATGGTGTGGCCTAGCGGTAGAGAGCTAGACTGCTAAACGGTAAGTCTCTCAAATTAAAATCTGGGTTCAAGTCAGTAGACCATCCCTGAGTCCACCCAGCTCTGATGAGTACCTAACTCACATTAGGGGAAGTAAAGGTGGCTGGGCATAGTGCTGACCACACTATCCCTTCACATGGTCACAGAAACAGGTGAACTCTACTTCACTTGCCCCATATACCACCAGATTTGGAGTTTTTTTTTACTTACTTCAAGTATGTGATTTTTACAAAACATTTAAGTTTCATTTTTTATAGTGTGATACAATAGCCTACAGCTGTTGATAAAAATATTTTTACTAAATTATCTTTATTTATCTTCAACAGTTTCCTTTATCATTTGTTTCTTGTTTATTTATCTTCTTAGATTTTAAAATTTTAATTCACGTCTCATGATTTTTCATTTCTCCAGGGTCTGCGTGGAGTAGATGGTATGCCTGGACCACCAGGCCCCCCAGGACCTGCTGGACCTATTGGATCTCCAGGTATTCCAGGTCAACAAGGTCCCAAAGGTGAGGCTGGAGCTGCTGGTCCTAAAGGATCCATGGGACCACAGGGTGCTCGTGGTGATAACGGAATGCCAGGTACACCCGGAGATGAAGGCTACACTGGAGCCCCTGGTATGCCAGGATCCCCTGGTAATGAAGGATCACTGGTGAGAATTTTTTACCTTTACTGAAATTTGTCCCAAAAAAGAATTTTACATTTATGAGAATTTAACACTTATGTTAATTTTTTTTAACTTAGATAAAAATTTAACATTATTTACTGTTTTTGTTAATTCTATTGTGACTTATTATAACTTTAAATGTCCTGATAACTTTTGAAACTGTTATTGTAGGGTGACCCCGGCCCAGCTGGTCTGCCAGGATTTCCTGGATCTCGAGGTCCTCCTGGTCTTGCTGGATCTCCAGGCGCACCTGGTTCTAAAGGTGCTTCTGTAAGTAGCTCAACATCACAACTTACAATACAGATCACTTTTATAATTTAAAAATTACGTATCCTAATATTATAAAAAATTAGTTTTTAAACAAGTAAAGCCAAAAATCCATAATAGAAGAAATTGTTAAAATAGTATATTTAAACTGTATTTTGTTATACTGTAAAAACCATGAATTAAAAAAAATTATAAAATTTTAGAATGATTTTTAAAAAAATTTCTCAACACTATCTGACCTGTAGGGTGATTCAGGTGACAATGGCTTTAAAGGTACAGCAGGTGAGAAGGGAGCACCTGGACCAGGTGGAGAGGCCGGTCAGCCAGGACCCCCAGGGCCACCAGGAAACAGAGTAAGTAGAAACATACCCAGACAGTAAGTAGAAACATACCTGGACAGAGTAAGTAGAAACATACCTGGACAGAGTAAGTAGAAACATACCCAGACAGTAAGTAGAAACATACCTGGACAGAGTAAGTAGAAACATACCCAGACAGTAAGTAGAAACATACCTGGACAGAGTAAGTAGAAACATACCTGGACAGAGTAAGTAGAAACATACCCAGACAGTAAGTAGAAACATACCTGGACAGAGTAAGTAGAAACATACCCAGACAGTAAGTAGAAACATACCTGGACAGAGTAAGTAGAAACATACCTGGACAGAGTAAGTAGAAACATACCCAGACAGTAAGTAGAAACATACCCAGACAGTAAGTAGAAACATACCTGGACAGAGTAAGTAGAAACATACCTGGACAGAGTAAGTAGAAACATACCTGGACAGAGTAAGTAGAAACATACCCAGACAGAGTAAGTAGAAACATACCTGGACAGAGTAAGTAGAAACATACCTGGACAGAGTAAGTAGAAACATACCTGGACAGAGTAAGTAGAAACATACCCAGACAGAGTAAGTAGAAACATACCTGGACAGAGTAAGTAGAAACATACCTGGACAGAGTAAGTAGAAACATACCCGGACAGAGTAAGTAGAAACATACCTGGACAGAGTAAGTAGAAACATACCTGGACAGAGTAAGTAGAAACATACCTGGACAGAGTAAGTAGAAACATACCTGGACAGAGTAAGTAGAAACATACCCAGACAGAGTAAGTAGAAACATACCTGGACAGAGTAAGTAGAAACATACCTGGACAGAGTAAGTAGAAACATACCCAGACAGAGTAAGTAGAAACATACCTGGACAGAGTAAGTAGAAACATACCTGGACAGAGTAAGTAGAAACATACCTGGACAGAGTAAGTAGAAACATACCTGGACAGAGTAAGTAGAAACATACCCAGACAGAGTAAGTAGAAACATACCTGGACAGAGTAAGTAGAAACATACCTGGACAGAGTAAGTAGAAACATACCCAGACAGAGTAAGTAGAAACATACCTGGACAGAGTAAGTAGAAACATACCTGGACAGAGTAAGTAGAAACATACCTGGACAGAGTAAGTAGAAACATACCTGGACAGAGTAAGTAGAAACATACCCAGACAGAGTAAGTAGAAACATACCTGGACAGAGTAAGTAGAAACATACCTGGACAGAGTAAGTAGAAACATACCCAGACAGAGTAAGTAGAAACATACCTAGACAGAGTAAGTAGAAACATACCTGGACAGAGTAAGTAGAAACATACCCAGACAGAGTAAGTAGAAACATACCTGGACAGAGTAAGTAGAAACATACCCGGACAGAGTAAGTAGAAACATTACTGGACAGAGAAAGTAGAAACATACCTGGACAGAGTAAGTAGAAACATACCAGGACAAAGTAAGTAGTAAGTAGAAACATTACTGGACAGAATAAGTAGAGACATACCCGGACAGAGTAAGTAGAAACATTACTGGACAGAGAAAGTAGAAACATACCTGGACAGAGTAAGTAGAAACATACCCAGACAGAGTAAGTAGAAATATACCCAGGCTGGCTATGATGTACAGAACTCTTACAGTCTTTTCTCATAAGATGGCTCCCCACCATATCTAGTCCCTTCCCTGAATAAAATAGAAAAAAATATAGCATTTAGGCTATAAAGCAAAATATACTTAAACCAGTGTCCACCCCTGGCCCCCAGAGAAAAATGTCTGAAAGAAACCCTAGTAGAGAGACTATCATGTCAGGCAGCATAATCAAGAGGGAGGGGGGGGGGGGGTTGCATAGGCAGCAAAATTTTGAATTAAAAACAATTTAGATGTGGCATTTCAAAGACTTTTTCAGGTTTTTTTTTTATCCACTGTACTGCTCTTAATAACTTTATTTTAAAATAATTCTGTTTCTGCTTGTTGTATTTTAGTGATTTAAAATGTAATATTGTACTCCATTATATAGATTAGCTATCAATTATTTTGATTGATGTTGTATTTAGAGCAAAAAGCAATGTGTTGAAAGCTTTCTAAATTGTTGTAATTTGTGTTTGTGAACTTTTAGGGAGAACGCGGAGCAGTTGGCCCTCAAGGTAGTGTTGGACCTCAAGGAGAGAGGGTGAGTAGGATATTATCTGATTAAAAGTATCTATTTTATAGAGTGGGATATTCTATTTTATAGAGTGGGATATTATCTGATTAAAAGTATCTATTTTATAGAGTGGGATATCATCTGATTAAAAAGTATCTATTTAATAGAGTGGGATATTATCTGATTAAAAGTATCTATTTTATAGAGTAGGATATTATCTGATTAAAAAGTATCTATTTTATAGAGTGGGATATTATCTGATTAAAAAGTATCTATTTTATAGAATGGGATATTATCTGATTAAAAAGTATCTATTTTATAGAGTGGAATATTATCTGATTAAAAAGTATTTAATTTATAGAGTAGAATATTATCTGATTAAAAAGTATCTAATTTATAGAGTGGAATATTATCTGATTAAAAAGTATCTAATTTATAGAGTGGAATATTATCTGATTAAAAAGTATCTAATTTATAGAGTGGGATATTATCTGATTAAAAAGTATCTATTTTATAGAGTGGGATATTATCTGATTAAAAAGTATCTAATTTATAAAGTGGGATATTATCTGATTAAAAACTATCTATTTGATAAAGTAGGATATTATCTAACTTAAACATTAGCTGATAAATAGAGTGAGTAGGATATTAACTAATAAAACATTAGCTACTCAATAGATAGAGTTAAATATCATCTAATTACAAGAAGGATGAGTCAACAAATAAAATGTAATAAACAATTTTTATTATAAAACAACAAAGAAAATGTTTTTTTTGTAAATAACAATATATATATTAGCATGTTGAATTTGAATTGTAAAGATAAATTCAAGTTTTTAAATTATCTAGGGAACCCCTGGAGCCAGAGGTTCACCTGGCCCACCAGGTACAGCTGGACCTAAAGGAACAGACGGCATTGATGGAGATAGAGGTGCACGGGGAGAACCTGGTCCAAATGTAAACAAACCTCAGCATTTTATGTTTTGTTTAAAGTATCTATTACATCTTATATGTATAAATAAATATAAAGCCTCTGAATTACAAATAAATTGAAAGAGATGTTTAATTTTGTTGTAGGGTGAAGTAGGCAGACCAGGACCCCCAGGTGCTAATGGTGAACCCGTAAGTTGAAAAATGAATTATGGCCGATATTTAATTATTTATGTGTGTTTGTGTGTACATGTGTCTGTGCTTGTGTAGCCTACACGATTTTGCCATTGTTTTAACTTTTTTTTCCCAACTGTTTCTAGGGAGCCCCCGGCCCATCTGGCCCTGATGGCGCTACTGGACCCCCAGGTCCACAGGTGTGTGTCCTTCGTTAACAAGTTTTATCAAAGCTAATATTATGGGATTTTTTTATAACTTAGTTCAATTTAATTAGCTTAAAACATTAAAAGAGTAGATCAGCTTTCAGTAGGCAGTTTTTTTTAAATTTGTTTTAACTTAAGTAACTTTTCCTATCAGCTATAAGAATTTTAATGTATAAATTTGAAAGTTTAGCCTTATTTTAGCATTAGAATAAAAGCTTGTAATTTTACTTGTTATTAAACATCAAATGCTTTTTTGCAACAAATTTCTTTCCCCAAAATTTCATGTAAAAATAAAACATTTCCTATTAGCACTTTGTAAATTGTTTTATATGACCTTTTGCTAATGACCTTTTGCTAGGGACCTCAAGGATCTGAAGGACCAAAGGGAATTACAGGTCCTACTGGTCCTACAGGTAACCCAGGACAACAGGGTCTGCAAGGACAGCAAGGTGAACGTGTAAGTAAGCCTTAGGAGCAGGTGTTACTTTAAGCCTCAGGTTAACTGTCCAGTTGCAGGAGAACTAATTATTCTTCCTCTTTCTTAATTGTAATATTGGATGGAATTTTCCTCTGAAACAACTGTACTAGGTGTCAAAATGTTATGCACCATTTGGCCTGTTGACTCTGACTTAGCCTACTTTTCTTTCTGGATTTGCTTTCATAGCCTTTGTCCAACCAAGAACAAGAGTTTTTAACTTAAGCATTTAAATTCTGTTGCTCACTTAAAAAGTGATTCTCTCCACTATAACCTATATTTTTAATCTTTATCTGTGTTTGTAATTCCAAATAGATATTTCCATAAACTTAATTAAGAATTATGATGAACTCAATACTTTTGGGTTAGTAAACATGTGCTCTCTGATCCTACCATGCCATATCCCTTTCTTGTATGAATTACCAGCATATGAATGATGTTTGCGATTCACTTGAGTTTTATAAGTTAAAGACATGCAAAAATGTGTTGTCTGATCTTTTTGTTTGAAGTTTTATCCAAATATTTAACATCCATTCCCTTTGTTTGATGTTTTAGGGCCTCTTTGGTTTATCCAAATACTTAACATCCATTCCCTTTGTTTGATGTTTTAGGGCCTCTTTGGTTTATCCAAATATTTAACATCCATTCCCTTTGTTTGATGTTTTAGGGCCTCTTTGGTTTATCCAAATACTTAACATCCATTCCCTTTGTTTGATGTTTTAGGGCCTCTTTGGTTTATCCAAATACTTAACATCCATTCCCTTTGTTTGATGTTTTAGGGCCTCTTTGGTTTATCCAAATACTTAACATCCATTCCCTTTGTTTGATATTTTAGGGCCTCTTTGGTTTATCCAAATACTTAACATCCATTCCCTTTGTTTGATGTTTTAGGGTGCCCCAGGTAAAGATGGGGTACCAGGTACTCAAGGACAGAGAGGACCTCCAGGTGATGCAGGTAACTCAGGTGACAGAGGACCTCCAGGACCACCAGGACCAGAAGTAAGATCTAATTAATTAACAATTTAATTAGTGAGTATGTGTTACCTGAAATATGTATGTGGTTGAGTCATGGATGAAAAGGTTTATATAATTATATCATGACTTATGATTATGTCATGCCTTATGATTGTCATGACTTATGATTGTTATGCCTTATGATTATTTCATGCCTTACGATTATGCCATGCCTTATGATTATGTCATGACTTATGATTATATCATGACTTATGATTATGTCATGACTTATGATTATGTCATGACTTATGATTATGTCATGACTTATGATTGTCATGACTTTTGATTATCTCATGCCTTATGATTGTCATGACTTATGAATATATCATGTATTATGATTATGTCATGACTTAATATGCTTTAGGGTGAACTTGGCCAGCCAGGTAAAGATGGACCACCTGGTCCACCAGGATTTCAAGGTGCGCCTGGACCACAAGGTCCTCCAGGTGACCCCGGGTCTGATGGACCTGAGGGAGAGATTGGTGCAGAAGGTCCAGATGGAAATCCAGGTCATGCTGTAAGTAGTGAATAGTTAGGTCATGAGTAATCACTAGTTAGGTCATGCTGTAAGTAATCACTAGTTAGGTCATGCTGTAAGCAATCACTAGTTAGGTCATGAGTAATCACTAATTAGGTCATGCTGTAAGTAATCACTAGTTAGGTCATGAGTAATCACTCATTAGGTCATGCTGTAAGAATCACTCGTTAGGTCATGAGTAATCACTAGTTAGGTCATGCTGTAAGTAATCACTAGTTAGAGGTCATGCTGTAAGTAATCACTAGTTAGGTCATGCTGTAAGTAATCACTAGTTAGGTCATGCTGTAAGTAATCACTAGTTAGGTCATGCTGTAAGTAATCACTAGTTAGGTCATACTGTTAGTATTGATTAGTTAGGTCATGTTGTAAGCAATCACTAGTTAGGTCATGCTGTAAGTAACCACTAGTTAGGTCATGCTGTAAGTAATCACTCGTGATGTCATGAGTAATCACTAGTTAGGTCATGTTGTAAGTAATGACTAGTTAGGTCATGCTGTAAATAATCACTAGTTAGGTCATGCTGTAAGTAATGATTAGTTAGGTCATGCTGTAAGTAATCACTCGTTAGGTCATGCTGTAAGTAATCACTAGTTAGGTCATGCTGTAAGTAATCACTCATTAGGTCATGCTGTAAGTAATCACTCATTAGGTCATGCTGTAAGTAATCACTAGTTAGGTCATTCTGTAAGTAATCACTAGATAGGTCATGAGTAATCACTCATTAGGTCATGCTGTAAGTAAACCTAGTTAGGTCATGCTGTAAGTAATCACTCATTAGGTCATGCTGTAAGTAATCACTAGTTAGGTCATGATGTATAGAATAAATGAATGATTAGGTCACACTGCTAGTAGTTACTGAATGAATAGGTCATGATGTTAATAAACTGAATGATTAGGTCAAGATATTAATATTGACTGAATGAATAGTTCTAGATGTTAGTAGTGACTGAAGGATTAAGTCATGCAGCCCTTTTATGAGTCCATATAAACGTTTTAAAACCTTTAAGACGTCTTTATAGATATTAAATTGATAACACAAAATGTGGCTTATCAGTTAAACTAGCCTTATTGAAGTCTCCCATCATATCTTAGAACTGAGTTTGACAATTAAAGAAGTTTCAGTCCACTCTGTTTTCATGTTAGCAATGTACAGGGAGACCTTCAATTTTTTTTCACAGGGTGAAAGAGGTTTCCCTGGACCACGTGGACCCCCTGGACCTGTGGGAGAGAATGGTCTTGCAGGAGCTCAAGGTCCACCTGGACCCTCAGGACCCAGAGTGAGTTCCTAGCTGATGTTTTTCAAAAACTGTTGGCCTATATTTCTTATGTAGTAATGCATAAAACATTAATCTGTGTACAAAAGTTTTTATTTTGATGATCAGGCAAATGATATTTTTAAAGGAAGATAAATCAAGTTTTAATTAATATTTATATAAAATTACTGTTTTATTCTAAAGTAAAATTACCTGTTACATTTTGAAGTGAAATTACCTGTTTATTTTAAAATGAAATTACCTGTTTATTTTAAAATGAAATTACCTGTTTATTTTAAAATGAAATTACCCGTTTATTGAAAGTGAAATTACTTGTTTATTTTAATTTGAAATTACCCGTTTATTTAAAGTGATATTACCTGTTTATTTTAAAATGAAATTACCCGTTTATTGAAAGTGATATTACCTGTTTATTTTAATTTGAAATTACCCGTTTTTTTAAAGTGATATTACTTGTTTATTTTAATTTGAAATTACCCGTTTATTTAAAGTGATATTACTTGTTTATTTTAATTTGAAATTACCCGTTTATTTAAAGTGATATTACTTGTTTATTTTAATTTGAAATTACCCGTTTATTTAAAGTGAAATTACTTGTTTATTTTAATTTGAAATGACCCGTTTATTTAAAGTGAAATTACTTGTTTATTTTAATTTGAAATTACCCGTTTATTTAAAGTAAAATTACCTGTTTATTTTAAAATAAAATTACCCGTTTATTTAAAGTGAAATTACTTGTTTATTTTAATTTGAAATTACCCGTTTATTTAAAGTGAAATTACTTGTTTATTTTAATTTGAAATTACCCGTTTATTTAAAGTGAAATTACCTGTTTATTTTAATTTGAAATTACCTGTTTATTTAAAGTGAAATTACCTGTTTATTTTAAAATAAAATTACCCGTTTATTTAAAGTGGAATTACCTGTTTATTTGAATAGGGTCCACCTGGACCAGCTGGATCAGAAGGAGACCAGGGTTCCCAGGGTGCACTTGTAAGTAAATAAAAATACAATCTTCATTAACCGTCTTCGTTAATTAACTCGATAAAGGTACTATAATAACTAACATGATAAAGATTCAGGTTAAATTGATGTCTTCTCAGTATAACATTTTACTTTGCTCATACAAATTATCCAAGTTTTATTATAGCAGATTTTTCTTAAACTTGTCTATGCTTTATAATAAACAATTATGTAGAAAAATATTTTGTAATTTTAATATTGGGTCATTTGTTTAATTTAAGGGACAACCTGGAGAACGTGGACCTGCTGGTGAACCTGGAGCTAAAGGAGACTCTGTAAGTGACATCGTTAAGGGGGGATAAGTAAGATCTACAAGGGGAGTAATCACGATCAATAAGGGGGATAAGTGAGATCAACAAGGGGTGATAAGTAAGATCAACAAGGGGGAAATCATGATCAATAAGGGGGATAAGTGAGATCAAAAAGGGGGATAAGTGAGATCAACAAGGGGGATAAGTGAGATCAACAAGGGGGATAAGTGAGATCAACAAGGGGGATAAGTGAGATCAACAAGGGGGATAAGTGAGATCAACAAGGGGGAAATCATTATCAATAAGGGGGATAAGTGAGATCAACAAGGGGGATAAGTGCGATCAACAAGGGGGATAAGTGAGATCAACAAGGGGTTAAGTGAGATCAACAAGGGGGATATGATCAAGGGGGATTATGATCAGCCCTTAACATGGCTAGTGCAATTTTTTTATAAAATGAACCACATATCTACTTCAAACCCTCAATGATATGAATTAATTCAATGAATGAAACATGACATCACCTCTAGGGAGAGCCTGGACCTCCAGGTCTGGATGGTCAAGCTGGACGACCAGGTGAACCAGGTCCTAAAGGTGTGACAGGTGCTGCAGGAGTGGCCGGAGTCCCAGCTGATAAAGGAGATCGGGGAGATGATGGTTGGTACTCACTCACATATTCATTGTACTCACACTTGGTCACTTTCTGGTGACTATGCATATATATATATATATATATATATATATATATATATATATATATAAGCCTATATATATATATATATATATATATATATATATATATATATATATATATATATATATATATATATATATATATATATATATATATATATATATATATATATACAGATATATATATATATATATATATATATATATATATATATATATATATATATATATATATATATATATATATACAGATATATATAAGCATATATAATATATATATATATATATATATATATATATATATACAGATATATATAAGCATATATATATATATATATATATATCAGTTTGAGGGTGTACAGGCATGTGTGTGTGTTAACCTGATATGAGTATGTAAATATTTTTCAAAAATTAGATTTTGTATTTGTCAAAACCTGACAATGTGAAACCTGTCTTTAAAACCCTCTCCGTGTATTGACAGGCCCTGGTGGTGCACCTGGACCACCTGGACGTCAAGGTAAACGTGGAGTACAAGGTGATGCTGGAGAGGCTGGATTTGCAGGCCCACCTGTAAGTCTTCCAGCAGTCATTTTCATTCTTTTCATAAAATTAACTGTCATTTTCATTATTTTAATTTAAAAAATGGTCTTTTTCATTCTTTTCATAATGTAAACTGTCATTTTCATTTTATTAGGATAAACGGCCATTCTTATTATTTTAATAACATAGATAAGCACATTCAAAGTAGTTCCTTTTAATTGAATGTAAATGAACTCTCTTTTCAAAGTAGTTCCTTTTAATTTCATGTCAATGAACTCTCTTTTCAAAGTAGTTCCTTTTAATTTCATGTCAATGAACTCTCTTTTCAAAGTAGTTCCTTTTAATTTCATATCAATGAACTCTCTTTTCAAAGTAGTTCCTTTTAATTTCATGTCAATGAACTCTCTTTTCAAAGTAGTTCCTTTTAATTTCATGTCAATGAACTCTCTTTTCAAAGTAGTTCCTTTTAATTGAATGTAAATGAACTCTCTTTTCAAAGTAGTTCCTTTTAATTTCATGTCAATGAACTCTCTTTTCAAAGTAGTTCCTTTTAATTTCATGTCAATGAACTCTCTTTTCAAAGTAGTTCCTTTTAATTTCATGTCAATGAACTCTCTTTTCAAAGTAGTTCCTTTTAATTTCATGTCAATGAACTCTCTTTTCAAAGTAGTTCCTTTTAATTTCATGTCAATGAACTCTCTTTTCAAAGTAGTTCCTTTTAATTGAATGTCAATGAACTCTCTTTTCAAAGTAGTTCCTTTTAATTTCATGTCAATGAACTCTCTTTTCAAAGTAGTTCCTTTTAATTGAATGTAAATGAACTCTCTTTTCAAAGTAGTTCCTTTTAATTTCATGTCAATGAACTCTCTTTTCAAAGTAGTTCCTTTTAATTTCATGTCAATGAACTCTCTTTTCAAAGTAGTTCCTTTTAATTGAATGTAAATGAACTCTCTTTTCAAAGTAGTTCCTTTTAATTTCATGTCAATGAACTCTCTTTTCAAAGTAGTTCCTTTTAATTTCATGTCAATGAACTCTCTTTTCAAAGTAGTTCCTTTTAATTGAATGTAAATGAACTCTCTTTGTTGAAAGGGTGAGCCAGGACCACAAGGCAGACGTGGACCTCCAGGACAGGCAGGTGAAAAGGTGCGTACAAAACTGGTGTCTTTTTTTAAAGCTTAGACTTTGGTAGCCTTGTGACCTTAACCTTTGGTAGTACCATGACCTTGACCTAAAAACTATTTTTTTTGTTTTTCCAGGGATTGGCTGGTGAACCAGGAGACCCAGGAGAGCCAGGCAACAAAGGGAGACCAGTATGTGCTTGTTTTTTTTTTATATTCATCTAATTAGTGGCCTAAAGTTTAGTTAACCACTGCTAGTCTGACACTTGAAGCCACTGTGGACCATATGACTGAGTCTAACACAAGAAGCCCCTGGACCATATGACTGAGTCTAACACAAGAAGCCCCTGGACCATATGACTGAGTCTAACACAAGAAGACCTCTGGATCATATGACTGTCTAACACAAGAAGACCTCTGGAACATATGACTGTCTAACACAAAAAACCCCTGGACCATATGACTGAGTCTAACACAAGAAACCCCTGGACCATATGACTGAGTCTAACACAAGAAACCCCTGGACCATATGACTGAGTCTAACACAAGAAACCCCTGGACCATATGACTGAGTCTAACACAAGAAACCCCTGGACCATAAGACTGAGTCTAACACAAGAAGACCTCTGGACCCTACAACCCACCATAGCACAAGAAGCCCCTTGATCCCATGAACCACTGCTTGTCTGACCCTAGAAGCAGCTTGACCCTATGACCCTCCCCCTTCCATGCTATGGAGAACGCTCTTACAGTAAATAATGTTAAGTTCCTGGCACCAGGCTGAGCTAGCTTGCTCTTCTATTTGGGTCAAAACACAAGTGAGGAATCTTATATAAAATATTTCAATTTTTTTTGTTTACTTGCTAGGGTGATCCAGGTATTCAGGGCCGACGTGGACAGTCAGGAGATGCAGGTATTCAAGGAGTCCCAGGAGAGCCAGGAACCCCAGGACATCCTGGACCTCAAGGCTTGCCTGGCCCACAAGGTCCTAATGGACCAACTGGACCTCAAGGAAGACCTGGAATCAAGGTAATGTTTAACAGTTACATGTTTACAGGCTCATAAGGTTGAGTAATATTTATTTGTTCACCATTGCCACTGTTTAATTTTTTAATTTCACGCATCATATAGAAAAGGAAAATAATGAAATAATGTTTGATTAAATTGGATTTTAAAAATTATTTAACATGTTTATAAAAATATTTCCAAATTTATCTTATATTAGTAATATATTAATAATATAAGCTCACTTGAGAGGTCTATATTACATAGCTTTAAAGTCTTCTGTCATATAAAAATCTTTAAAATCTAGGCCCTTCAGATACACGTTAATTCAAAAGATTGAAGTGAAATGTAAATCTTTTATTCTGATGTTTAGGGAACCTCTGGGGAGCTTGGTAGACCTGGCCGTCCAGGAAGTAACGGAGCACCTGGCCAGCCTGGGTACCCAGGTATCAAGGGGGCCCAAGGAGAAGCTGGTATTCCTGTACGTAAAACATTTACTGTTGGCCTCAGTTTTATTTGTTCATTTTGTGTTTCAACTTTAAAACTTGCCAAACTTTACAAAATAATGAATATTTATCAACTAGTTTACTAAAGTGCCGGACAGGTAAAGTTATTTTTTTTTAATTCGTTTGAACTAATTTTTGAAGCTCTTTTATTTGAAATGTGTTTGTCTTTGCTGTCTAGGGATCTGAAGGTCCAACTGGACCCCCAGGCCCTGCTGGTCAACGAGGAGAACAAGGTACACCTGGTGCAGCAGGAGAGACAGGACCTACTGGGGCACCTGGACCTAAAGGACCTAGAGGAGCGGCTGGTAGAAATGGTAAGCTTTCTTGTCCACATAAATAGATGGTTGCTTTTTATTCTTGATACCAAAATAGTGGCTTATCTAGTTGGTGTAAATAGTAAGTAAGATAAACAGTTTATTTTTATTCTCTTGATAATAAAGAAGTAGCATACCTATGGGGGTGTTAAGGTGATTAGAACCCCTACCTCAAGAGACACTTAAAACAAAAATTGTCTCATATTAAGTACCCGCAATAGGCAACAGTGCACGCATCTTCTTGTTTTTACAATTTTAAAATATTGTATAAAGATTACAATTTTACAAACAAATTTTGAATACCCACCATGACCAAATTTCAGCTGTGCTAAACTAATATTGGATGGTCAAATGGTAGAGCAATGAAAGTAATATATTGTAAACAGGCAGATGAATATTTTCACTAAATTATTTTTATTAATGAATTGGTACCTGTCTTAAGTTGTGGAAATTACTGAGACCACCCAGTTTTAATTGGTACCTGTCTTAAGTTGTGGAAATTACTGAGACCACCCAGTTTTAATTGGTACCTGTCTAGTGAAAAGTAATAGGAACCAGGCACACAATACTTTGAAATACAGATACCACAGACAGCCTACAGCTGAGTGCCTGATGGCCCTTCAAGTTTGCCAGAATTTTCTAAAATAATTGTGTCATTCCAGGCATTGATGGCTATCAAGGCAAACAAGGAGACAGTGGACCACCAGGCCAGTCCGGCCCAGTTGGAGAGCCAGGCGCTCCTGTAAGTTGTTTGTAAACATAACAAAATGTTAGGCCTACACATTTTTTACTTCAGCTGATTTAATTTTTTCTTGACTCAATGTACCAAACCCTTTTCATACCATTTTTATTTATAATTAAAGAAATTAACCTTTAAATGTTCATATTAGTGTAGGATGATTATATAATTAATTAAAGTAAAATAAACCTTTAATAAATGTATATAATAATGTAGGCTAATTATGTCTAAATTAATGAAAATTCCCCTTTGAAAACATTAGTGTAGGCTAATCAGATCCTTAATTAAAGAAAAATTCACCTTTTGGCAGGGAGCACCTGGTGCACCTGGTGCCCCAGGACTTCAAGGCCAAGCTGGAGACAAAGGACCAGACGGTGACGCTGGACTTCCAGGAAATCCTGGCAACCCTGGCCTTCCTGGCCCCCCTGGACCAGCTGGAAATGCTGGACCATCAGGCACTAAAGGACCTAGGGTATATTTCTTTATTAAAAGTTACATTTGCCCAATAAATACAATTTTATTTTTAACTTTTTAACTGTTCTTTCCCATTTGAGTCCGTATTCCAATTTATTAATCTAATGTTGTAAAAAATTATTTCAGGGAGAAAATGGACCAGAAGGACCACGTGGACCTGCCGGAGCTGCTGGAGCACCTGTAAGGGCAGATTATTTTAATTAGTAACTTAATCTTAGGATTAGCTTAATCAAGAACCTGTAGGGACAAATTATTTTAAATAGTAAATTAATCTTAGGATTAGCTTAGTCAACACTTGTAAGGACAAATTATTTTAATTAGTAAATTAATCTTAGGATTAGCTTAATCAAGCACCTGTAGGGACAAATTATTTTAATTAGTAAATTAATCTTAGGATTAGCTTAATCAAGGAAAAATTATTTTAATTAGTAAATTAATCTTAAGATTAGCTTAGTCATGCAAGTTACAAAGTCTAGCACTAATCAGGTAAGTAATGAATCATTGTTAACTTTTTATTTATTTGCCTCTCTTTCATTTGTTTGTGTGTGTGTGTGTGTGTAGGGAACTCAAGGCCCAGCTGGACCTGATGGTGTAGATGGTGAAGCTGGTGAAAATGGTGACAAAGGTGACCCAGGATACCCAGGTTTACCTGGAATTCAAGGTGCAGAGGTAAGTTCAGGCCTCCATCAATTTATTAACATTATTATATTTTGATATTTTTGTTTAATTTATACTTATATTCTGACATTCAATTGCTTATGGTCAATAAAAATATACATTTTTAAATAGCGTAGGCTACTTAGTTTATTTAAGAAAAGTAACCATTTAGTTACTAGTTAGCATACAAATTGTGTACAGGTCTTTTTTTGTTTACACTCTTTGTATGTCTGTAATTTGTGCACTACTAAACCAAACCTGTGTATCCTATTAAAATGTTAAAAACTTGAATGTCCTAAACTATGGGTCCTATTAAAATGTTTAAAACTTAAATGTCCTAAACACAGGGACCTTCTGGAGATCAAGGAGGTAGAGGCCCACCTGGACCACCAGGACCTAGGGTAAGTTATTTTTATATAATATTTTTTGTATTAAACTCTCAATACGTTTTAGGCAGTAATGTTTTATTTGTTTCAATATTGAGTGGATTACAATTAAATTGTTTAATTCCCTTCTCCGTTTTTTATTCCAAATACTGTATAAAACAAATTTTTTTGTTCATATCCTATTCCATGTTTTAAAATTGCTTTACTAACTATCAGGGACCTGATGGATCTAGAGGTCTCATTGGGGCAGAGGGTGATGTTGGACAAGAGGGACCCCCAGGTCCAACTGTGAGCAAAATAATCTTTACATTTTTATCAACTTACAATTTATTATAAACATTTCTAAGCTGAGAATAACAATCCATGCAGGGGTTTAAATCTTAGTGTTATATAAAATCTCAAAATAATTTAACAGCCAACAGCATAGTTTTTAATTCCTCATTAAAAGAATATTGAAGAGGTTTAGGTTTAAATCTCGGCGTGCTTAGATTTTAATTCTTCATAAAAAAAATGTGTAGAGGTTTAAATGTCACTGTTATATGAAGTCTTAAAATAATTTCAATGCCAACAGAATAGCTTTTAATTCTTCATTAAAAAAATTGGTTGAGGTCGTAGAGGTTTGGGTTTACATCACGTTCATTAACATTTTTTTCTGTAAAAGCTTCAGTTAACATCTTTTTTTTTTTTAATTAGGGACCAAGAGGACCTGCCGGTGAAGACGGTAGACGTGTAAGTATAAGTCTGAGATTTGTTGCAATCAGCTCAGTTAGAGTTGTCTGAATTAGATAAACTACTGCAGTTGTTTAAAAAAAGTTGTTGCTGATGACTGCTTTGATTGCATTAAATTTTTAAATTTTATTTCTCTTGTTCTTTAGGGACCTCAAGGAGAACCTGGCAGACCAGGACCACCTGTGAGTTCATGAGCCAAATTTTTAAATGACCCAACTTTTAGAATGTAGAACTAACAATCATGACAAAAACACTAAATTTTCTTGCCCTTGTATTTAAATCACTTTATTATCCTAACGCTGACCTGTTGATTCAGTTAAAAGAATAAAAACAAGTAAAATTTCAATTATTTTTTTATGATTTGCTACCCTCAGGGACCACCAGGCCAGTCAGTCTATGCCTCTGCAATGCAAAGCTGGACTGGACAAAAAGCTGGAGATCCATACTTGGTAAGATAGCCAACAATTGAGTAATTCATCCTACATAACATGCATTTAAATATTAAACAGTCATCTTCACATCTAGCCTTTGATTTTATTGGGGGAGGCAGGGACTAAATATATAACAATGTACAAATTTTTATTGCACCTGAGATCTACAAATAGCTATGGAACTGTGCATAAAAAATACAAAAACATTTTTCCTTATATTTTCCACACACAAATTTAAGAGGGGGGGGGGGGTGGGGGCTTTGACAAATTTACCCCTAAACCTGCTTATGTTAATGATATAACTAGGTAAATTTATTTACATTCAAAATAAAAGACTAGTATATTTTGCTAAGACAATAAATAAAAAGATAGCATTAGGCTATGTGTCTTATTTCAAAAGGTTTTGTAGTACTGAATTTAAATATCTTGTAGCTTCACAATTAAATGCTTTATTTTTTGTTAGGGTGATGCACCTGAAGAAGCCCGCAATACAATAGAAGCCCTCAAGAAAGTTTCAGATGAGATTAAAAAGCTGAGAAAACCAACTGGGGAGAAAACTTCACCTGCAAGAACTTGCAGAGAATTAGCTGCCTCTTCAGAAGAGAAGCTCAAAAATGGTCAGTTCCCATCATATTGTTTTGTTTAATTCTGTCAAAGTAAGGAATTTTTTTTTTAAATATAATTGTATTAAAGAATTTTTTTTAATTAAATTAGAACTAAAGCTTCAACAAATATTCTAAGCTACACTGTTTGCTCATATTATTTCTCAAGTTATTGTAATGTTGTTTTTTTCCTTGACTTGCCTATGTTACCCTAGTTCTTTTATTAACTTCTTGATAATTTTCAAAACAAAAAGTGAAGGTTTTTTCCTTGTAGTATGACATAGGTTATATTCATAGATGGTGTCTGTAGGGGTGGGGGTGAAGGACTGAACTTATGTGACAAAGTGATCACATTTTTACTTGTTAAAAATAATTTTCTAAACTTATTTCAACTTTTTAAATTGGGAAATAGCATTGAAATTAATGAAATCTAAGTAACATTGACCCATATTTTCTAGAATTGTCATTATTAAATAGTGATTTGGGTTGTGGGGTAGGGGTGGATACTAAATTTAGATGTCATTTGCCATGACAGTAGGAAGAAAGGGGTGAGTGGGGGGGGGGGGAAATCTGCCAAATAAAGCATGCCATCATTTATGGATGACCTCATATGTGCTTGTAATTTTTTAAACTAAGTTTCCACCTTCTAAACACTACTGACACAATGTTTCAGGCCTTTACTGGGTGGATCCCAATGGTGGTGGTATTGCTGATGCCATTCAGGTCTTCTGTCGCTTCAACAATGAAAACTTGGATGATACACAGACTTGCTTGGTACCTGCAACTTCAGTGGTGAGTTTTCAAATTTCAACGTCAAGTAGACATTATTTTAAGAAATATAAATTGTTCTGTTTACAAATTCATCATTTTGTATTAAAAGTTGAATGATTATGTTTATAATGTGAGCATATTATGTTTGCAGTTTGAGAAAAAGCAATGGTTTACCAGAAGACCATCTGGTGCTGAAGAATTTGCACTGTTTGCTGAAAATTTTGCAGAATCTGAGGTTGTTAACTTAAAAAAAAAATTTTTTTTATTCAAAATTATGTCAAGAATCTGGTTTCAAATCCTTGAAATGTTTTATTAAATTTTTTTAACTGTAAATTAATATTTCACTAAAATCAAAATAAAATTTCACATGAGGTATTTTAGTTTATTTCTATTGACTAACATATTTTTTAAAAATTGTTCTCAATACTCTGTTCAACAGTTCTCCTATCAGACCCACAAATCTCAGGTTAAATTCTTGCAATACCTCAACAAGAAAGCCAAACAAAGAATCACCATCCACTGCAAGAATGTTGTGGCTGTATTTGACCAGGCCAATAACACTTGGGACAATGCCATGAAGCTCATTAGCTTTGACGAGGAGGATGTCACTGCTCAGGGCAAGAAAACATTCAGATACAAAGTAATTGAGGATAACTGCAAGGTCAGTTACAAGAATTAGTTTCACTTTTCATGTTTTGACATTTAATAACATACCTTTAAAAAATTAGCAAATTATTATTTTTAAAGGACAAAATAAGAAAAGTATAGAGATAATAGTACTTTTTTAAGCAGCTGTTTATGTTTTATTTATTTTTTTCAGGAGAAGAATGGTCAGTGGGGTACTACTGTCATTGAGGTACGAGGCAAGGATCAACAGCTCAAGAGACTACCAATCCTCGATGTAGGCTTGAAAGATGTAGCTGGAAGCGAACAAGAATTTGGCATTGAAATAGGAAATGCCTGCTTCGGCAGCTGAGATGTTAAAAAAACTTTATTAGCTTGGCAGTGATAGTATCTCATAATTCATTTTATATCAACATGTCTGATTTCACATTTTATTAAAAATGCCCAGGCTAATTTTTTAATGTTAAAATAAATATTTTTGTTTGTTTTGGGTTTGCATGATATTGTCTATCACTTTGGGAAAATTGTTTACATTTGTTTTAGTTATGTTTATTTCTCATATGCCTAGGACCTTTAAACATTCGTTTAGCCTAGGATATGTAAGTTTGAATAAACTTTCATAACAAAAACTCATTTTTTTCCTAAATACATAGACAATGCCCTGAATTCCCTAAAATTCATTTGTGGTAATTCGCTCCACTTGTCCTTTTCAGTCACTTTAAACATATGTGTTCATTAGAACATTTTAATGACAACTATTGTGACACTAATGTTTTTGTTTGTGTTGAATAATATGAATTTAAATTTACAAAATGGTCTCAGAATTTTTTTCAGTGCCAAATTACGAGTGATTTGAAACACAAAAGTGCCTTTAAATGTCAAAGTAATGGATTAATATTCACTCAAACTTCTTTAACAAATATTTTTTAGTAATATCACAATGGTGACTAAATGCATAGTGCAACATAAAAAAAGAAACACCATTTTAAAAAGTTACAAGAAATTTAAACCAAAAACCTGGGTCAAAATATTTAAGCTAATAAACAACAATAAATGGCAGCAAACCAGTATTTAAAAAATTTATTTCAACATCAACAAATTGTGTGGGTTTGGCCTAATGATTTATGGTGAACTTTTCTTGTAATTTTTATTTTTTTATTTTAGAAAACTTGTGATAAAACTTTGCAATGACCATTCAATTGATTTCATGAATATTTAATTATGAAGAAGTCTAATAATTTTTTAAAATGATACGGCTTACTGTGATTTAGACATTTTATTAAAGATCTTTTCTCTGATGGCTTCTCTAGGCTTTTACATTGCACTAAAACATACATCTCAGATGAACGCAAGGAGAGATTTTCTTCACATATTTGTAATTTAGTAAAAGCAGTTTGAATCAATCAGTTTTGCTTTTGTGGTTTATGTAATAGTGTTAATAAATGTGATGAATGAATTGTTATTGTTCACAGAGCAATGAATGCCAGTTCTTTGGTCAATGCTTTTTTGTGTAAATATTGTATCAAAATCTCAATTGTTTTTAATGTGTTATGAGGAATTTCTTAATCCGTCCAGATGTCTGCCATTTATTTTATTTTTAATTATTTTTATCATTAAAGTTTACATTTTTTTTTTTTTTGCAATAATAAAAATTTGAAAGTAATGAAATTTTTTATGTTTCTTATTTTATTACAACAAATCTAAATACAATAAATACTATATAAAACCCTTATCATACAACTTAAATGAAGTATCACTATAAACTATAATTGTAAAACAAAAATGCATAAACATTATAAGACTATGCTGGACCTAAATGTTGACTAACTGTATGCATACACACACATTATGATACTTATGGTGTTAGCCCCCCCCCACCCTAAACACACCAAAGGAAAAAAGTATACATATATATATATATATATATATATATATATATATATATATATATATATATATATATATATATATATATATATATATATATGGGGGTGGTTATGTGTGTGTATGTATTGTCGAGATGGTCAATGTGTAGATATAAAACTTTTAGACTTTTAATTTTTAACTCTAATTATTCATTAACTGAACAGTCAAAAAGCATTTTCTTCTATATATTTTTCAATTTTTCGTCTTTGGGTCACCCCCCCCCCCCCATATGGTGTCACCCGGTGCGGTCCGCACCCCCCCCCCCCCCTTCGCCTCGCGGCGCCTATGAGTGTCATACTATCGTGGATCTCAAGTCACTCTCAAATTCATAGTAGTGAATTTGCCAAAAACTGTAGGAAGAACATTAAGAACCTAACCTTGTTTTATTATTCAAGATTTTTCCCTTATTAAACAATGCAGAGTATTAGACTTGATTATTAATGAAAAGGAAAGTTTTAAAATATGTTGTAGGCTATAGATCTAGTCATACAAAACATTATAATAAGTCATTTGTGATTAAGCTTCTTCGATCTCACGACATATATATTCATGGTTTCCTTCGTCCCATAAGCTTCTCATCGCAGGTTTGCGATTTTAAACGATTTACCAGCCAAACTTGATTTTCTTTAAATTTAACTTAAAATAAATAAGTTTAACACGTAAACTTAAGAACATTCAACATGGAACTCAACCCGACCCTTACTCATAGTCCATACGCTTCCACCAAAAAGGGTCTAAGTCAAGTCAGTCGAATTTATTTTACCCCCTCCCTACATCCTAGTCTAATTATATAATTATAAGGACACAGGTCTAAATAGATCTAGTAGAATGCTGAATCTCGAAAACTGTTCAAGGTATCGACTTGAGAATATTATTTTCTGATTCTACGGAGGATTTAAACTATACTTGCAATGCGTAGTCTTCAGAGGGTTAATCATGACCTAACTGCACTAGTAAGCCTACTAATACTTAGCGTTGCCATGGAGAAGATTTTTAACTTTGATCCCAACCTTCTGCTATCGATTTTGTTCTCACATCAAAGATGGATGTCAAAACTAATGGATCTTCTAAAGGTTAGAAATTAGTTTAAAATCAAGTTCTGTTCATATTAATAGAATAATAAGATGCCTACTATTTGCGCTATGTACTTATTCTACTAACTATCTTACGAGGCTATCTAATTCTACGTATTATTATTGTGTATTAATAAACTATTATTTAATACAACAGGATTACATACTACGTCACACTTAGTGCTAACTTCTAAAAGTTATGTAACCTTATGGCTTATTTGACTATAATCAGACAGATGGTGGGACTGTTCAAGGCAGGACAAGTCATGACTAGACAACACAAATTCTAAAGACAAAATCTAGTCTAACTAAAAACTAAAAATCTTAAAGTCACAATTTTGTTTATTTGAGTATTTGTTGATTTATTTTTAGATTTTAGATTAATCAATGGGCTACTCATAATAAAAAAAAAATATGCAAACATACATAAACTAGATCTAAAAATGAAATTCAACTGTATGGTCTATACCAGGGGTCTCCAAACTACAGCCTGCGGGCTGGATGCGGCCCGCGAGGTCCTCTCATCCGACCCGAGGAGATTGTTTTGTAAACGAAAAAAATGTTTGTTGGAGGTGGCTGGGGAAAAATTCAAAACAAATTGAAAATGTAGCATTGTGTGCAAAAGTACCACTGCCAACCGTGTTGCAGACATTGATGAAAACATGTGGACATTAGCAGTGTACTGAATCTTGTGTTAAAGATGGTGAAATTAATAAGGTCACATGGGCTCATCTATAGATAGTTCAGAGACAAGTTGAAAGATACAAACGCATAATCGCAAGAATTACCATATTTCACGGCAGTTAGATGGCTAAGTTGTGTGATAGTTCTTAGCAGGTTATTGATATATATATATATATATATATATATATATATATATATATATATATATATTTAATATCGTTGGGAGGTGGAAGACAGTAGGCGTTCTTCGGGGGGTGGGGAGGGCTCTGCCACCTCGAAGAGTTGCCTGGAAGACACTTTGGCCCCCGAACTAATATTTGATAATTAATGCGGCCCTTGGGCTGAAAAGTTTGGAGACCCCTGGTCTATACAATAATTAGTAATTTAATTAATAGGGGCTGAAAAAAATTTCCGCCGTGGGCCTCGCTTATGCTTAATCCGCCCCTGATTTCAGCCTTCACCCTTTCCAACACAACATCATCCCAATGTCTTTATCATCCTGGGGTCAGCTGTTGTTAATAATTATGGTGTTTGGTATCAAATCTGGAGAATACTGTCTCCTTTAAGAACAGTTTTATAAAAAGATCATGAAAACAATGGATTAGCATTTTTTTTTAAATTAAAGTTTTATGTTTAGATTACTTTGTGTTTTAAAAGCAAAGTGAGTAATGAAAAAAATATTCAAAGTTTAAGTAGTCTATTTTAAACAAGTACCTAAATGATTTTAAGAAACCTGTAGTAAAAAAAATAATACACAATGTTTACTTTTTCCCTCTGATGATTTTTGTTTAAGACATTGTCTCATATAAACCATTTAATTAACATGCAAATGTAGAAGGGTCCTTTTTTTACTTTCTCATACATATGAAGTATAGAGAAAGTCTTGTAATCGTGCAAAAGTTCCCATCCCCTGTTGTTTTATATAAGAATATTCGAGAAAGTTTAGGGGAGATCACTCCCGGTTTATTTTAATTTTGCTCTTCAAATCTGCTGTACAGGTATCTCATTTGATAATCCAGACGTTGAGAGTTTCCTAGACAGTCTATTTCAACTAATCAAAGAGGAAGCCCTGAAAAAAGGCACATCAAGAGAAACAGCAGTTATAGAATTTAAACAGCCACATGAGTTAGAGGTAGAAAAAAACTTTTGAAGGATTGAATTTATATTTCTAAAGTTTTGTAAAAAAAATGTTTTGGAAATTTTAAACTGACATTTTTTAATTTAATTGTTCACATGTTGCTAAGCTAACCATGTTTTTCTATCAGACTTTTTAAAAAAATTATTTCACATTTTTTATATTTTCACATTTTTAAATATTTATTTATTCAAACATATACAGTTATCAATAATTACTCATTAACATATACCTTTCTTTCTTCTTAAACTGTTTTAGTCAGTTATGCCAATGCATTTCAATCAAACTTAAAAACATGCTAATCTTGAAGAGAAATTTATTATAATTTCTATCACTGTAGGTCCTGTTCGATTTTGAAATTCACCACAAACCATCTAGTCATGAATCACTTTTGGAAGAAGTTAAAAAGATTATTAAATACAGCGTCAAGTCAGGTAAGGTTTACAAACAGGCTTGCGGCGTCAAGTTAGTTTAAGTTGATAAGTGTAGTGTTGTCAAGTCAATTGAAGTTAACAAGTATAGTGCCAGGTAAGGTAAATGAAAATGACTGAATTATTTGTATACTTAAACATACTAATTCATTGCACATGTTGCTGCAGTCTCAAAAGAAAAGAAGTCCAAGGACACTCATTGTGATAACATTCAATTGTTAACATTGATATATTTTTAGACAAGTGGCCTAATTATCTGCAGGGCGTAGTGATATATTTTTAGACAAGTGACCTAATTATCTGCAGGGCGTAGTGATATATTTTTAGACAAGTGACCTAATTATCTGCAGGGCGTAGTGATATATTTTTAGACAAGTGACCTAATTATCTGCAGGGCGCTTTCAGATCAATATGATTTAGTTCTACACACTAGAGTGAAGAAACGTTTTTTAAGGGTTCTATCAGCATGTTACTCATTGTGTAATTTTAGATGTGTGACCTTGTTTTCTAAAACTGCGTTTTTTAAGTGTAAATAGCTCTGGGGTTATATTAGATTTTAGTTGTTAGGTCGCAGGTTTGTTCACTCTCCCACCCAAATGCCGCTGGCATGCTGTATGAATGCCTTGAGTTAATCACCCTCCAAAATAGTGTGGTATAATACAGCTTGGGGAACACCTAGGTGTCAGGGGTGCATGCTCTAGGGAGCCACCAATTACACTAACAGTGATGTGCCTGGTGCATCCCCTGGTTTGGTCGACCGGTCACTCGATCACTTGTTTTAGTCAACAATAATAGTAGCCCAGTGTGTTTCTAGTATACAGCTCTTCTTAAAACTCACCTGACTCACAGGGTGTAGGTGGATATGCCTGGTGCAAGATAGCCACTAGGGAACTCTGTACACCAAACTGCACCTTACTGCCAGGGGGCTGCCCTCCAGAAAATTTTTCCGCAAAAAAACACCTCAGGAGTATTCTCAACAACTTCCCAAAGTTTCATGAAAGATGTGGTACTGCATAAAGGACATATAAACAGACATATTTACATACTTTCATTTATATATATATAGATCAATATAGATAATACAACTCTAAGATAATATTCTATTCTGAAACCTCCCAGTACTCTAGTGGGTAAAGTAGAGACAAGCTTTTCCTATAGTCACTTAATAAGCAGCATTTAAGTGCTTGAGTAAGCCTCTGATTATCATCAAGAAGAAGAAGAATTTCAAGTCTTGAGTATTAAGGTGAGGATAAGCATTGGGTGGGCGTGCCTTAATTAGGTATTAGGTTAATTATCAGTGTGATTTGCCACTATACTGTTTGTATAAAAATAGTCAGTAGTAATAGTTATAAAAGTGAAGTTTTCACTGTTTCCCTAATTAATGTCTGATACACTGATTAGGTCTGCCTGGCTCATGTCTGATGCCAAGACATGAACACATTTTATCCTTGCACTGCTCATAACTCACTTTGCTTTCATGTACCTGCAGTAATAGTTTGAATAAATTAGACTTGACATGAAATATTTACACTTTCAAAGCCTCATGAAAATATTTCACCATCATAAATTATTAAGTTATTAAAAAAAAACATAACTATAAATTCAGTGACCTTTTAATTTAAAATAACCAAAATCAACAACCAAACTGTGTTGTGAACAATAAAAATCTTATTTTAATGCAGGTATTAATATTTTTTTCTAACTGTACAGGTCACCCACATTTTCACAACTTACTGTATGCTGGCCTTGACCCATATTCCTTATCAGGGGCATGGCTGACAGATGCACTCAATGCTAATATGTAAGAGAATTTTTTTTTGGTCTCTTTCTCTGCATTTTCTAAAGCAAGTTAACATTTTTTACTATTTGATAATTTTTCCTCTTATTGTAGACTGAAGAAAAGAATTATGTAATTAAAGTAATTTAATGCAGGTGAATAAAGTACTTTAAACATTTTTTTTTTTAAAATTTGTTTTCATGTAAAAACATTCGGCTGTGAGTTTTTAACGTCTGCTGGTGTTTACAATTCCTGAAAAATAATAGCTGAGTGAGCAGTTTTTTTTCCATCACACCCCCCAGCTAACGCCTACATGTTGATGTTTTAGCCTTATTTCTGATGACTCAGCCTTTCTCATACAAACAGATGTGTATTTTTATTTAAATGTTCCTCCAAAACAACTCAGTTTTACTCTGTCTGTGGAACTACTTATTTCTGTAGATTATTTTATTTAATAACTTAGTTTTGCATGCAACTAGATTCGGTTCAATTATATGAAAGATGCTATTAAAATTATACAAAAGCCTGATAATGTTTAAATACAAATATATATATATACAATATGTTGGCAAATCTACACTCATCTAAGTAATAAAATAAAAACATTTCAGCAAATGTTGAACACTGCTAACAGACCCACTTATCAGATATGATTTTAAAACTGTTGTATGTATACAGTTTCATCCACTTAGCAATAGAACAATATTGGCTCTGTTATTTCCATTTATGCTGCATGTTTTATTAATATCTTCACCAAAACTTAGACATACATTTGAAGCCAGCCCAGTTTTCATCATGATGGAGAAATACATGTTCAAAAAACTTTCAACACTGATTGGTTATACTAATGGAGATGGCCTTTTCTGCCCAGGTAAAAGAGATAGCAAGGTTCTTAATGTACTTCAACAAAACACAAGATGCATGATGCGTGTAGGAAGAATAACTGTGTATATAGACATATATGTAATATATTCTAGACATATATATAATATATATATATATATATATATATATATATATATATATATATATATATATATATATATATATATATATATATACATATACACACCTACAATAACATATACATATGTACATATATTGATATATATTTATGTATATTATATATATATATATAGGGTCTTTATATATTATTTATATATATATAGGCCTACATATATATATATATATATATATACCTACAATAACATATACATATGTACATATATTGATATATATATATGTATATATATGTATATTATATATATATATAGGGTCTTTATATATTATATATATATATATATATATATATATATATATATATATATATATATATATATATATATATATATATATATATATATATACTATACATGTAGGTGTCTATATCTATATGCTTAGCTAGATGGACTCGGGCAGATGAGGCTCGTTAGCTGGGGACAGCCACTCTTCTAGGAGAGACAACTCCAAAATTAAAACAACTGCTGCCTTGTAGTTTGTTCTTGGTTGGACAAAGGCTATGGAAGCAAATCCAAAAAGAAAAGCAGGCTGAAATCGGAGTCAATGGCCTCAATGGCGCATAACCAGTTGACACGTAACGCTTAATTGTGTTGGAGGCGTGGTCGAGTCGGCAAAAAGCTCATGGTTGATACATTCGAACAAAGTTTCGATTTTCAAACCCACTGGCAGATAAATCTCGATCCCCTTCAACACTAATAATTAAGAACGAAGAAGAAGAAGAAAAAGCTAGATGGTGTGGCAGGATTATAGAGCTTATGACTGCTAACCCAAATTTCTTGAGTTTGCATAGGATATCCATGAGTCCACCCAGCTTTGATGGGTACCTGACTCACTACAGGGAAACAAAGTCAGCTTGTCTTAATGCTGACCACACAATTCCCTTGTATGCTCAAGTCATTGCTTAAGTCATTGAAACAGATAAACTTTACTTCATAAGTCTTGGGCTCAATAGGAAAAGATGATGTATATTCATATACACACATGTACATAAGCAACATATGGGAGTGAAAAATGCTCTGCTATAAAAAATATTTAAATTTAAAATAATGCATTAAAAAAGGTATTAATGTCTAAAAAACTTTCATAAAGCTAGAAATTAAAATACTTAAATCAACAAAATAACATCAATATATCTTGCAGGTGGGTCAGCTTCTAACTTCCTTGCACTGCACCTTGCCAGGTACAGGAAATTCCCTCAAGTAAAACAAACTGGCGTATACAACTTCCCTCAGATGAGATGTTACGTTTCTGAAGATGTAAGCCATGGAATTTTAATGGTTGCTAATTATAATTAGCATGACATTAAAATTAGCGTTCTACCTTTAGAATTTCTAACTATTCTCATCTTGTATTCTAACCTTCTAATTTTAGGGACACTATTCACTTAAAAAGGCTGGCCATTTTCTTGGATTAGGAGAAGATAATATAGTACCAATCAAAACAGATAAACTTGGCATAATGTTACCATCAGATTTAAAAATAAAGGTTCAAGAAGATCTTGATAAGGTATGCTATTAAATTATTTTAAACAGATTAAGACTCCTATTTTTGTTTCTCTTAAATTAAAGTTAGTAGTTTTTCATTTGCAGCTTATTATAAGTAAACGTGGTGTATTTTTAATGAATCGGTCTATTGTTTTAGGGTTACGTGCCCTTGTTTGTCATGGCTACGGGGGGTTCTACTGTGCTGGGTGCTTTTGACCCCATCCCTGAGCTACACGCCATCTGCCAGGAGTTTAACATGTGGCTGCACTGTGATGTAAGTAGACAGAATGTTGGCTGAAAATGGTTCCAATCGTAGTCAGGAATTATGAAAAGTCATCTAAATGTTTGCCCTAAGAAAACAAAAATATAAATACTAGACGTACAATGTTACATATCAAACTCAACCACTAGGAGACAGGCAACTCTGTTCAGTAAAGGGCAGGTAAATCTCTACAGTTAGGGGCAGGTAAATCTCTATAGTTATGGGCAGGTTATCTGTACAGTTAGGGGGTAGGGGCAGGTAAATCTGTACTGTCAGGTTCAGGTAAATCTGTATAGTTAGGTTCAGGTAAATTTGTACGTTAAGGGAGGGTAAAACTGTAGTTGAGGGCAGGTAAATCTGTACAGCTAGAAATTTTAAAATCTGTCCACTGTAGCGTAGTTAACCCTGTCTGTCTACAAATATTTTCTGAGATTTTTCTAGATTTGAAATGAGACTATGTCATGTATCAGAATGTTAACAAAAATTTTTAAATTTTTTACTAACATTTTAATATACCAGTTGTATTGTTAATATATTAGTTCATTAAGTTTTCTTATTATTACTAAAATGATTGTGCTCTTTAAACTCCTAATCCCCCTACACATTCACAATACATATTTTGTGGCACTGGTTAGATCTATTTACTAATTGTATTTTTATTAACAATACTGCATGCTTTTAAAACCTCATATAAAACTAGTCATAGCTGCCATGTTCACTTATTGTCCATATGTTCAACCTGACCCATTCTACCTCATATACAGGATGATATTCATGAATGGCTTCTAAAGTAATATTGATGAAGAAAATAATTAGTAAACAGTACATTCAGTTTAAAACATAAGAGAAGGTATTATTATAAAATACCTCTGTTTTAGTTACCACTGAATTTTATCAATTCTATGCAAATCATAGTTTATTCTAACATAAAAGCAAATTAAAGGCAAGTGCACTGTATTTTTTACTAATGTAATATTAATTTTGGTAAATTATCTAACCATATACAGGGTAATAATTAGTGTAGTTTTTTTCCAGATTGAGTTTTAATTTTATTGTAACCGCTGATAAGTATATGTTAATTTTGTACATGACATTAATTTTAGTTGAAAAATGAATTAACATTTTGGTATAATTAAATATTGAATTTTCAAGACATCCATTTATATGTTTGTATAAAAACTAAAATCTTAAGAATATCTAATAGTGGTGACCAAATGCAGTATTTTACAATTTTAAATCTTCCAGAAACTCTCCACATACACACACTGTCCATTTTGTCTTTACAGTATTGATAGGTAACCTTCTGATATCATGAACTTTAATGATTACCTTTTACACCTTCTGAAATAAAAAAAATAAAGATTACACTTTTTTAAAGGCATGTTTGGGAGCAGGTGTTCTTCTTTCTAAAAAACACAAATACCTGCTAGATGGCATTGACAGGTACCAGTTTATCTCTATAACTTTAATAAAAAGTAAAGATATTCTTTAGTGTAGGTGTAGTAGAATTCACCTGTTTCTGTGACTTACGTGTGGGATGGTGTGGTGAGTTCCATGCTCAGCCATCTTTACTATATCCAACTAGAGTCAGATACCCATTAGAGCTGGGTGGACTCAGTGAGTCCAACAGACTTTAGCCCTGGATCCAAACTCGAGACTTTGAGCCAGCAGACCTGTACTCTACCACAGAACCACACTGTACCTTAAATTGTTCTTTATTATCTAAATATTTATGTCAACAAGCACTTTGTTTTACTAACATTTTAGTTTAATATTAAGAAGAATATATATTTTTTATAAAATAAACTTTTCATAAAAAGAACATTTAATTTTTAGCCGATATTCTAATATATCTTTTTAATATTATAGTTAACTTGTAAATAAATTTTGAAAATAATAAATTTTAAACATGAAGTACTATTCAAAGTTTTTTTTAAAAATTTGATGAAAAGTAATATCATAATTTTGATTCTCCTTTGTCAGTATTAAAAGTAGAAGATTATAAACGTGTTTGATGATATTTTAATGTAATATCAGATAGTAGATTGAATACATTCCATTGAGTCAAAGATGAAATAAATGATTTAAAGAATTAACAAACTGCATGGTTACACCTCTTGTTAAAACGTTAGCTTATCGACTTTAATCTGAGTTAATTTTGTTTTATTTTCTCATAAAGCTGTGATTCTGTTGCTTGGAACTTTCATAAAATCAGTGGTGTGCCCCTCCAATGTTCAGCTTTTTTACTGAATGACAAGGTAATGTTGTGTCATGTTTTGTAGGTTAGATCCTCTTAAATTATAGTTTTTGGTTGAATTTTTATTGTAGCTTTAGTTGTTTTTTTTTTTATTCTCAGGACTTGCTGGGAGAAGCAAATGGGTCTAAAGCTGAATATCTGTTTCAACCAGACAAGTATTATGACACATCACTTGATATTGGTAGGTTGAGCCTCATAATTTTGGTAAGTTGGTGGCTCATGATGTTGGTAGGTTGGTGGCTCATGGTGTTGGTAGGTTGGTGGCTCATGATGTTGTATTTTGGTAGGTTGGTGGCTCATGATGTTGGTAGGTTGGCGGCTCATGATGTTGGTAGGTTGGTGGCTCATGATGTTGGTAGATTGGTGACTCATGATGTTGGTAGGTTGGTGGCTTATTATGTTGGTAGGTTGGTGGCTCATGATATTGGTAGGTTGGTGGCTTGTGATGTTGGTAGGTTGGTGGCTCATGATGTTGGTAGGTTGGTGGCTCATGATGTTGGTAGGTTGGTGGCTCATGATGTTGGTAGGTTGGTGGCTCATGATGTTGGTAGGTTGGTGGCTCATGATGTTGGTAGGTTGAGGCTCATGATTTTGGTAGGTTGGTGGCTCATGATGTTGGTAGGTTGGTGGCTCATGATTTTGGTAGGTTGGTGGCTCATTATGTTGGTAGGTTGGTGGCTCATGATGTACTCATACATTGTTGTTGTTCCTGTCATTTAAGGTGACCGCAGCGTGCAGTGTGGAAGAAAAGTGGACATCGTCAAGCTATGGATGATGTGGAAAGCTTTAGGGGATGATGGCATGGGGTCAAGGATTGACCAAGCATTTGATAATGCCAGGTCAGCTGACGTGTCAAAGTGCTTGTCTCCCTTACTAGTTCAAATGTTCTTATATAACATTAACTTTGTTAGATTGTATTGTACACAGCCAGTCTGCTGTGTGAAATTTTATTTTATGTTTCCATAGCTACCTAAAGAAAAAGATGGAAGTCTCAAATAATTTCAGACTGGTGATACCAGAGGTAGAGGTTTCTTGAATATTTCTTACATTTCATTTCATAATTTTTTTTTATTTTTTTTTTTAAATTTATTTCTTATTTATCTTTTATTTTTATTTTTTGGTGATCTTGCTAATAGTTTTAGCTTTTTTCTTTTAGTTTCAGTGTACAAACGTTTGTTTTTGGTATTTACCTGCAAGATTTCTGGGTCAAAAGGAAACAGAAGATTGGTGGGCTGAGCTGCACAAGGTAAACATTTGGTTTTTGTTTTTATCTTAATAAAATGTTTGAAAAACATTACCAAGATATTTGAACAATAAGTTCATTTTTAATATAACAATATATATATATATATATATATATATATATATATATATATATATATATATATATATATATATATATTTTTTTTTTTTTTTTTTTTTTTTATCAATCTAAGTATCTAAGTTTAAAATGTTATCAATCAAACTCAAATAATAAAATCTTTAAAAATATAACAAACAACTATTTTTTTTATCAATCTAAGTATCTAAGTTTAAAATGTTATCAATCAAACTCAAATAATAAAATCTTTAAAAATTGGTTACTGTGCCGACAGGTGGCGCCAAAGATCAAAGAAGCCATGGTCAAGTGTGGCAGCATGATGATAAGTTACCAGCCACTGTCCAGCAAAGGTTTTGTTAATTTTTTCAGAATGGTTGTCCACAATCCCTTGTGTACATATTCAGACATGGATTTTGTCATCTCTGAAGTGGACAGGCTAGGGCATCACTTATAAATCATGGTTTATTGAGACTTACTAGATGGTGATTTTGTTGTGAATTAATGTTTTACATTGATGTTTCAGTAATCCTGTCTTCCAGTATTAAGGCATTTTACTTTTACTAACGATTACATTTCTTTTATACCAAATGAATTTGAAACATTTTTAAGAGCATTTTTTAAAAAAACATTGTTTACGTTATAAATTTTATTTATGTAACTTTTTTCTGATTATAATATTTTGATTCTTATGGAGATTGCATCTACCTCATTTTACTAGCCAATCCTTTCATGCTTGAGAAAAACTGCATAGTAAATTTATTTTTCTTGGAATGTCAGTATAATTAGTGCCCCCTTAGAATTATGTTTACAGACAAAAAGAAGCTGAAAATAATCAAGGTAAAGCTTAAATGGGTTGAGAGTTGACATAAGAAATGGATCAGTTTTGGAGTTGTATGAATTTCATTTGATTCTTTTTTTTTTTTTAGATTAATCTATGTAACTTTTGTCTGAATTTTGTGAAGATAGGTTAGTGTTATTGCTAACATTCCAAGTTTGATTCTTATGGAAATGGTATCTACTATCTACCTCATTTTACTAGCCTATCCTTTCATAGCTGAGAAAAACTGCATAGTAAATTAATTTTTCTTGGAATGTCAGTATAATTATTGCCCCCTTAGAATGATGTTTACAGACAGATAAAAGCTGAAAATAATCAAGGTAAAGCTTAAATGGGTTGAGAGTTGACATAAGAAATGGATCAGTTTTGGAGTTGTATGAATTTCATTTGATTCTTTTTTTTTTAGATTTATTTTGTGAACATTTTTTAGATATCAGTAAGGATTTTGTTCTAATGTATTTAGGTATGTAATGTAGCTCCAGAAAGACCTATCTTAATGGCACATTGGTGTGTATGGATGTAGTTCCTGATAATCTTTTTGAACCCCAGATCTATATTGTATCAGCTGAGTATTTATTTTAATTTTCAAAATTTTACTAAGCTCTTAAAAAGAATGTATGAAGTAAAAACAAATTCAGGGAAAATAAATATTTATATTGGACAGAAATTTTATTTTTTTCATTAACACAATGGTGACTGATGATATTAATGCATTTTTCCTCAAAAACATTTTCAATTTTATATATTTTTTGTGAAAAAAAATGAGCATCTCATCAAACAAGGAGCAGGTTAAAATCACATATTTCAGTTTAAAACTTCACCAGTATAAATGCTGAATAAAACTACTATAAAGAGCAAGAAAGCATCAAGTTATTTTAAAAACAATCACCATGAATTTATGATGAAACTATTACTCAATCGCCAACATTGCACTGCAGATATACATAGTGTGGGTTATAAGTTATGCGTGGTGTTAAAACTGCACTGAATACCAAAGGTGTAGTAAAATCACAGCAGGCAGCAAATTAATTTTTATGGTTCTAGTTGGATGGAATGAAGAAAATGGCATCAGGCAGTGTGCAATGACTGATGGTAGCAACGATTGCCATAACAGCATTAATAAATTCATGGATCTTGTCAAAAAATAAATGGCTCTTACCTCTACATTTACAAAAAAAAAAAACTAAAACAAATTCAAGTTCTCATTTTGTCTTTGAAATAGTACCCTCAACATATGTTACAGAACACAGAACTAGCACACATTCATTCAGACTTGCACTCAACACACTGCTGCATATATTGTGTAACAGTTTATTTAAATTTGGTAAAGCTTTTTCTCTGAATGACTACTAAAAATATAATACAGGCATTTTTCTTTGGTTGTTACAAAAAAAAATATATAAATCCCAAAAATGAAAATTATATTGAGAGCTATTCTGAGAAATAGTTCTAACTTTTTGATCAACAATTTTTAGAAATTTCTATCAAAAATGTTTTATTTTGGAAGATTTTTTAAAACATTTTTTTTCAGCAACCATTATATATAGCATGACATGAATGAACGATTTCATGTTATATTAATTCACATTACAACAACAAAAAATGTCAAATAGATGGACGGATTATGATAAGGCAAGTGTGAATTATAAAAAATGTAACACTGTAAAATGATCAAAATAGTTAAAAACCAACAATCATTTTAAGTCATTAAAATACGCAGGAACAAGCTCAAAAAGATAATTTCTTAACTTTTAGAAATTGCCAACTGAAAAACAATTTAAAAAGCAATGTTTCATCCAGATGTCTGCCAACTCCAGATGGAAAAATAAAAATTAAAAAAAAATTAAAAGAAAATTAAGTATTTAAAAAACCGATTTAATAAATTGACAATGATTACTTCTTTAATGGCAATGACTGATTAACTAAAGCAGGCATTTCCTACTTCTATACCGAACTGTTGATTCTCTCTGCCAATGTCAAACAAAAGCATGTCAGTCAATGGCAAGATGTCAGTCTTGTTGGTCTTAATGCTGAAGGTTGCTGTGTGCCATTGGTTGTCTTTGCGCTGGAAATGATAGAATCAAAGGAAACCATGAGAAGAAAAATAATTAATCATATTTGTATCTGTAACACTATTTTACTATTAATTGATTTTAAAAATCAAGTTTCATTGACTTTTAGACAGAATGCATTTTAAAAAATACACTTCTTTAAGTCAAAATAGTTTTTATAGATGTTTTATTTTCTAATGACCATTTATAGGAGTAAAAAAAATTTTTTACTTACTTCTTTAAAAAAAATTAACATCAATTATTTGACTGCTATTTTTTTATTAACTGGTTAGGACTAAAGAACTTTTTAAACATTTATCTTATGAATAAAAAAATGTATGTCTACTTGCAAAGTAAATAAGCTACTTACGCAGTCATCAAAAACATCAATGAATGTTGACTTCTTGTATCTGCCCTCCACGGTGTCCATCTCCTCACCTGAGCTGCTGACAAACCTGATGCCATAGGGGATGGTGTTGAGACAGGTGTAGGTGACTGTCTGGCGAGCCCCAGAGGACAGTAGCTGGAGGAACTTGACTTGCTGGGAGTCAGCTTTGTAGAAGAACTGGGGATTCACAAGTTTATAGCATCAATACTTTTTAACAAGAAGTGTAAAACAACTGGGGATTCACAAGTTTATAACATCAATACTTTTTAACAAGAAGTGTAAAACAAATGGGGATTCACAAGTTTATAACATCAATACTTTTTAACAAGAAGCATGAAACAAGTGGGGATTCACAAGTTTATAACATTAATACTTTTTAACAAGAAGTGTAAAACAAATGGGGATTCACAAGTTTATAACATCAATACTTTTTAACAAGAAGCATGAAACAAGTGGGGATTCACAAGTTTATAACATTAATACTTTTTAACAAGAAGTGTAAAACAAATGGGGATTCACTAGTTTATAACTTCAATACTTTTTAACAAAAAAAACCACACCTCAAAATCTGTAGTTGTTTGCTACCATACATACATATTTTTAATTAAGTACTTAATAGCCGTACGTGAATTATAAATATAATTACATATAGCAAAGTTTGTAGTTTCGTTAATTTGTTTCACTTTTTCATATTGTGGTACCAGTGAATTTAATTAATAATTAATTTAATAGATGTTTAAAAATAATTCAATTTAACTTTTGTGTAATTATTTAACACTTTCAGATGATTTATTTCATTAAAATCTTCTAACCAAAGAAGTTTGATATTTTGACCAACCTCTTTGCCATTGTTGACATCTTCCATGAAATACTGGCCATCTTTGGTGTTCTTGGTCCATCTATCCTGTCTGAACTGAAATGTCAGTTTACAGCAAAGGTTTAGAACTTGATGAAAACAACCATTTCATAAACTTTGTTTACAGCTAGAGTTTTTTTTTTCAAAATCTTCAATGTTTCAACTTATTTTTAAGAAAGTGTTAAGAATAGCAACTAACATTGTTGGGGTTGGCATTGATGCAGCTTTCCTCAGTCTCAAAGTTGCAGTACACAAGGATGGCATCATTAGCAGAGCCTTCATTGGGATCAATCCAATATTCACCTGAAAATTAGTGTGGAATTTAATTATTAATTGATCCAATATTCACCTGAATATTTGTGTGACAACTAATAATTAAATACAGGGATTTATCCTATATTCACCTAAAAAATTTTGTGGAATTTAATAATTTATTATTAGGATCAATCCTATATTCCACAGAAATTTTTTGTGGAATTGCATATTCATTTTTGTTGGGTAAAATATGTTTGACCAACTCTACAAGATGGGTAAAAAATGTTTGACCAACACTACAGGTTGGGTAAAAAATGTTTGACCAACACTATAGGTTGGGTAAAAAATGTTTGACCAACACTACAGGTTGGGTAAAAAATGTTTGACCAACACTACAGGTTGGGTAAAAAATGTTTGACCAACACTACAGGTTGGGTAAAAAATGTTTGACCAACACTACAGGTTGGGTAAAAAATGTTTGACCAACACTACAGGTTGGGTAAAAAATGTTTGACCAACACTACAGGTTGGGTAAAAAATGTTTGACCAACTCTACAGGTTGGGTAAAAAATGTTTGACCAACACTACAGCCTGTATACAAATGCGGGCTACTGACCACTCTTAAACTCTGGGTTAGCTCTGATAATATCCCTGCAGGTCTGACCAGGAGATGTTCGTCTGCCAGTGGGTTTGTAGACACGGTTCAAAGCCTCTCTGGCCAAGTTTAAGCCTTCATATCCACTTTCTGTGTCCTAAAATAAATTTGTCAGATTTTTTTCAATTTCTTGCTGCCTTAAGGGGCAGAAGATAAGGTTTATATTACCAGCAATAAGAATACTATAAAATATAATTTAAAATGAGAAATACTTTAACAAAATAAGTTTAGATTAAAGAACTTATATTTAAAATACCATTTTGAAAATGACATGGAAAATATATATTTAGCTTTCTCAATCCTAACTAAACATTTCAAGTAGCTGACATTAAATCAAATATCACCTCACAGTCTTCTAGCATAAAATTATCATTACACTAATACATTACCATTATTTGATACATGCAAACACCAAGTCTCTTACCTCAATGGGCTGATCGTACTGCAGATATGGATCGTTGCCCTTGCCTCCAAAGTTGGGACTGGATGGGTAAACTGGAGCATATCCCTGAATATTCAGATTTTTAAAAGTAATTACTATCCAGTGTTAAAAACATGTATTTCCTTATATCTAAAACATGACCAATGTCACTTATTGCCCAATGAATGTTTAGATACATTTTTAATACATTTCACCACAAAGTAACTGGTTCTTGTGTAGATATAAATGTGATTACAGTTTCAGCATTTTAAAAAAAATTGTCAAAAACTCACAGGTGGGCCTGGTGGTCCTGGAGGTCCTGGTGGTCCAGCTGGGCCCTAAATTGGAAGTAAAAAATGTCATGAGATTTTATAAAGTGTGAGGATTACAGTATTAAATCAACTTCTAACCAGGAAAAAAGTACTTCATTGCATTGCCATTCTTAATCTATCATACCCATTTTTAAAAATTTTCCTTGAACTACAGAGAACTTCAAGACAATATGTGTTATTTATTTTTAAATATATGTTAATATTATTTATTTAAATATTATTATTTATTTATTTTTAAATATGTGTTATTTATTATTTAATTTTTTTTTAATATGTGGTATTTATTATTTGTTTTTAAATAAATCAAAGTTTGATTTTTTTTAGATCTTCCAAAAATTGAAACTAAAATCTTCAAAAAGAATAACTAGATTTGAATCCGAAAAGAAAATTCAACTTACTGAGGGGCCATCATCACCAGCGGGTCCTCGTGGGCCCTACAAATGAAAATGTGGGTTTTATTTTTACATGGTTTTTAATTTAGTTTTTAAATAAATCACATAATCAAAACAGATAAGAATTGAAAATAAACATGTAACAATATAAAACATGGAACAGCACAATGCCGTATGTGAGACAATTTTTTTTTCAACCTACAGGGTTGCCAGGTCGTCCAGCGGGTCCAGACTCTCCATTCCTGCCAGGGAGTCCTCTCTGTCCAACAGATCCCTGTTTGAAAACAAAATTAATCCATCGTCACAAAATCATTAAAACCTCAACAGTTATCTCACTTATTCACAACCACAATTTTTAGTATCCTAATAAAAAGTAATTTATGACATGCCTACTCAAAATAACTTAAGTTTAATTAGAATTTAAATAATAATAATACTCAAAGGTATTATTTTAAAACCTCACAGTAATTATGTGAAACATGTAAATTTTGTAATTGACTTACAGATGGGCCGGGTGGTCCTGGGGGCCCTGGTGGTCCACTTTCACCATTGGATCCCTAGATTATGTTTTGAAGAAAATATATAAATTATATATGGGATTATATATAAAATAATATATAATAATGTGATGAAAAATTACCAAAAAATAAATAGCAACCTAAGATGTAGACTATAAGAAGTTCAAAACTAACCTGTGGTCCAGGTAAACCTTGACCTCCAGGTCGTCCAGGCCAGCCTTTGTCTCCCTTGGCTCCATTTTTACCACGACGTCCAGCTTCTCCAGCGGGACCAGCAGGACCCTAAAATTTACATCAAAAACTATTTTTAGCTTATGCTCTATCATGTTTATCTGGCAATTAAACCAGCTATCAGACATTAAAAATAGGATATAAACAAAAAACGTTGCTATGGCTGATGCTGTTACATTATTCACTATAATTTTATCTAGCAATAAGAGCAGAAAAGAAAATGGATGTGGGCCAAACATGCAAAAGAAATAATCCAATTGTTGACATTTGTGCTTAATTATTATGTTTAATTAACTGAGATTTTCAGTTAATTATTATGTTTAATTACCTAAGATTTTCATTTAATTATTATGATTAATTACCTGAGGTCCAGGTGGTCCAGCATTGCCTTGTGTACCTGGTGAACCGCGATCACCCTGAAAGAATAAATTATATTAGGTCAATTTAAATTCTATTGCACATATTTTTTTAAAATTTATATCTTAATTTTATTTCAATTATTTTAGTTTATTTTGAGAATCATTAAATTTTTTTAATGGAAACTAAAACATGAAAATTTAATCCTTGAAAAAACAAACCAGTAAGTTCTCTCCTTTCACCCTAAAAATAAAACTTAATTTACCTTATCTCCCCTTTTTCCCTAAAATTAAAACTGAATTTACCTTATCTCCCCTTTTTCCCTAAAATTAAAACTGAATTTACCTTATCTCCCCTTTTAAAACAAATTTTACCTTATCTCCCCTTTTGCCCTAGAAATAAAACAAATTTACCTTATCTCCCCTATCACCCTGTGGTCCTGGTGGTCCTGATGATCCTGGAGGACCTGGTGGTCCATTGAGTCCCATTGGTCCAGCAGAGCCTGGTGGGCCCCTGTTTCCTTTCTCACCGTCTCTACCCTGCTGACCAGGACTGCCAGGAGTACCAGCCTCGCCCTTGATGGAGGAAAAAAACATTCATGCACATTAGAAGATCTAACTTATTGGAGGCTGGGGAGGTGTCTTTCTTCATTCAATACCCCTGTACTGAGTCTGTACTGACCAACTGATAGTAAACACTTCTATTGTTAAAAGATTTTTATTAATAATCATGCCTTTCTCAGATAGCTTAAAAGTAAAAATATGAGTATTTCGCAATGAAATTTTAACCATTTTTTACAAATTGTTAATACACTAATCACTGACAAAGTCATTAGTGCAATGTTTAATTCAGAAATATAATAAACTGTTATTTTTTACTAAGATTTATTAATAATAACTACATTTATTGAGAGGGACATTGATAATATTTTGTAACATACTTAAACAGGTATAAATAACAACAAAGTTTCTTAAAAGAGTTATAGTTGATATTTCGTAATGAATCTAAACTGGCATGTTAGAAGTGACTAAAACACTAACTCGCAAGCCAGGATCTCCTGGGAATCCTTGAGGACCTGGAGCTCCAGGTGGGCCAGTGGCTCCAGGTTGTCCATCTTTTCCATCACGTCCAGGTGGGCCAGTATCACCCTGTAGATTTCAAATTATTTTAAACATAGCTGCAAGGACATCAATGAGTTGGGAACTTAAATGTTTCTTTTAGAAAGGAAAAGTTAATACAAGAAAGTTGAATCAAATTGTTTTAATTTTTGTAACAAGACATGAATAATGCTTTGTTTACATTTTTGTAATGAGATATGATTGATGCTTTGTTTAAATTCTTGTGACGAGATATGAATGATGCATTGATTTAATTTTTGTAATAAGAAATTACATTTTTGTAACAAGTTATGAGTGATGCTTTGTCAAAATATGACATTTTTTAATAAAAGAAAAGTTAATAAAAGAAAGCAGAATTAAAGTGTGTGAATGTTTATAATGAGATATGTGTGAATGTTTATAATGAGATATGTATGAATGTTTATAATGAGATATGTGTGAATGTTTATAATGAGATATGTGTGAATGTTTATAATGAGATATGTGTGAATGTTTATAACGAGATATGAAAAGCAAACAAACATGTTAGGTTTAACCTACTATTTTGTTTTTGACTTTCTAGAATATAAAGAAAATTGGGGTTTTTTTTTATACTAAGGTTGTTGTGCTTATTTTCAAAAAGATTAAATTTCTTTACATATTTTTTTCAAAAAGGTTATATTTCTTGACATATCTTTCAAAAAGGTTTTTTTCTTGACAGAAATTTCAAAAAGGTTATATTTCTTGACATGTTTTTTCAAAAAGGTTGTATTTCTTTACATATTTTTCCCAAAAGGTTATATTTCTTGACATATGTTTCATTATTTTCTACACTGTCAGTTTACCTGTTCTCCTGCTACACCAACTGGGCCAGAATCACCAGGGGCACCTGTAAATCCAGGGCTGCCTCGCTCTCCTTGTGGTCCGGTAGGTCCAGGGGGTCCTGGGGGACCCTACAAATAAAGCCATCAAGTGATGTGTGATAGATCTGTCTAGTGGCTCATAAGGGCTTATGTGGTACATCTGTTCTATTTAGTGGTTTATAAGGGCTTATGTGATACATCTGCTCAATTTAGTGGTTTATAAGGGCTTATGTGGTACATCTGTTCTATTTAGTGGTTTATAGGGGCTTATGTGATACATCTGCTCAATTTAGTGGCTCGTGAGAGCTTATGTAATACATCTGTTCTTTCTAGTGGTTTATAAGGGGCTTATGTGATACATCTGCTCTATTTAGTGGCTCATAAGGGCTTATGTAATACATCTGCTCTATTTAGTGCTTTATAGGGGCTTATGTGATACATCTGCTCTATTTAGTGGCTCATAAGGGCTTATGTAATACATCTGCTCTATTTAGTGGCTCAAGAGGGCTTATGTGATACATCTGCTCTATTTAGTGGTTTATAGGGGCTTATGTGGTACATCTGCTCTATCTTATGGTTTACAAGGGTTTATGTGATAGATTTATTCTATCTAGTGGTTCAAGGGGCCTTGATGTGTTCTATCCAGGGGCGTAGCGAGGGGGGGGGGGGGGCGGGGGGTGCGGACCGCACCGGGTGACACCATTTAGGGGGGTGACACCAAGGCAAAAAATAGCAAAATATATAGAGAAAAACTCGAGGGGGGGTGCAAATCGAAAACTTGAGGGGGCGTGCAAATTGAAAGTTTGAGGGCGGGGGTGCAAATCGAAAATTTGGAAGTTTGTCCCTGGGAAGGGTCTCTATGCTTCTGGGGGGGGGGGGGGTGACACCATTAAGTGCCGCACCTACGCCACTGGTTCTATCTTATGGTTTATACGGGCTTATGTGACAGATTTGTTCTATGTTGTGGTTCAAGGGGCTTATGTGACAGATTTGTTCTATTGGGTGGTTCATAATATAATGGATAGAGATTAACTTGACCACGTTGACCATGGAATTCAAGACTTACTTGTGATCCAGGTGTACCACGTTCTCCAGGTAAGCCATCATTGCCTGGCTGGCCAGGTTGTCCAGCTTCTCCAGCAAATCCAGGTGGTCCAGTTTCACCAGCACTTCCCTACAATCAATTTTAGTAAAAAATTAAATTGTCCAGTTTCACCAGCACTTCCCTACAATCAATTTTAGTAAAAAAAATTAAATTGTCCAGTTTTTTATCAGCTCTTCCCTACAATCAATTTTAGTAAAAAAAATTAAATTGTCCAGTTTCACCAGCACTTCCCTACAATCAATTTTAGTAAAAAAAAAATTAAATTGTCCAGTTTCTTATCAGCACTTCCCTACAATCAATTTTAGTAAAAAAAATTAAATTGTCCAGTTTCACCAGCACTTCCCTACAATCAATTTTTTAAAAAAAAATTAAATTGTCCAGTTTCACCAGCACTTCCCTACAATCAATTTTAGTAAAAAAAATTAAATTGTCCAGTTTTTTATCAGCTCTTCCCTACAATCAATTTTAGTAAAAAAAATTAAATTGTCCAGTTTCACCAGCACTTCCCTACAATCAATTTTAGTAAAAAAAAAATTAAATTGTCCAGTTTCTTATCAGCACTTCCCTACAATCAATTTTAGTAAAAAAAATTAAATTGTCCAGTTTCACCAGCACTTCCCTACAATCAATTTTTTAAAAAAAAATTAAATTGTCCAGTTTCACCAGCACTTCCCTACAATCAATTTTAGTAAAAAAATTAAATTGTCCAGTTTCACCAGCACTTCCCTACAATCAATTTTAGTAAAAAAAATTAAATTGTCCAGTTTTTTATCAGCACTTCCCTACAATCAATTTTAGAAAAAAAAATTAAATTGACCAGTTTTTTATCAGCACTTCCCTACAATCCATTTTTGTAAAAAAAATTAAGTTATCCAGTTTCACCAGCACTGCCCTACAATCAATTTTAGTAAAAAATTAAATTGTCCAGTTTCACCAGCACTTCCCTACAATCAATTTTAGTAAAAAATTAAATTGTCCAGTTTCACCAGCACTTCCCTATAATCAATTTTAGTAAAATATTGAATTGTGTTCATATGTAGTAGTTCATTTATTTTGAGCAAAACAAGTGCAGACAATTTATGATTGAAATAATGTATTACTGCTTAGGGATCATGGATATATGATATAAGAAGTAAGTTGGTTTAGAAAGATATTTTCAGTAAAAATCCCTGAGGCATTCCATACCTTTTCCCCTTGTAATCCAGCAGCCCCTTGTGGCCCTGAAGGTCCTGTTGGTCCAGGAAGACCTGGGGGTCCATTAAGTCCAGGTTGACCAGGTTGACCGGCAGCTCCCTGAGGTCCTGCATCACCGTTATTTCCTTTCTGTCCAGGTGCTCCCTCCTTTCCCTTTAAAGAAGATGATAAATCTTTTAGAACAAATCTTGCGCATTTTCTTACTGAAACATTGAGTTCTTTTCTAGAAAAATATCTAAATATTCTTGCTGAGTTAGAAAATGATAACTCTGCAAGAAAATGATAAATAATTTTTAAAAATACTTTTAATTTCGAAAAGTTTAAACAACACATATGTATTCACATTTCAGCCATTTTGAATTATTTTTTATAAACTCTGTCAGTGTTTATATATTTATAAAATATTTCAATATAAATATATTCATGGTTTAACATAAAATATGGCAGAACCTGATTATTGTTTTGTTGTCAAATTTACATTTTTTTTTAAAATGTAAAAACTTACTTGGTCTCCTTGAGGTCCAGACTCTCCTTTTGATCCTTTCGAACCTTGAGCACCCTAGATAAGGAACCAATCATTTTTAAACATTTTGATACTGATTTTAGTGTGTCAAGTTTACATTGATAATTTTCATAACTTATAAAACAACTTCTATGCTGGCTGCACACATAGATCAAATCTACTTACAGGTGGCCCATCAGCGCCAGGTAAACCGGATTCACCGTCCTTGCCTTCAACTCCTCTCACACCTTGTGGTCCTACAGGTCCTGGGGGTCCTCTTTGTCCTGGGGGTCCATCTTTTCCAGGGGTACCAACGTCACCAGGGGGCCCAGGAATGCCTGCGTCTCCTTTGTTGGCAGCGCTTCCGCCTGGGCCTGGGGGTCCTGTGCTTCCAGCGGTACCTATAGGTCCAGGAGGTCCAGTGGGGCCATCTTGTCCAGCAATTCCTTGCAGACCCTAAAAATTGTTAACAATTAACTACCTAAATTAAATTTGGTTTTCTTTGTTTATATCTTAGCCTAGGTAAAAACAAAGATCAGGATATGCTAGACACTGATTGGTTATTTTAAAACAATGATCAGGATATGCTAGACACTGATTGGCTATTTTAAAAGAAAGATCAGGATATGCTAGACACTGATTGGTTATTTTAAAACAAAGATCAGATTATGCTAGACACTGATTGGTTATTTTAAAATGAAAAAAAATAAATTGCTGACCCTGGCACCGCGTGGTCCAGCACGACCAGCTGGTCCTCGTTCTCCTTGTGGTCCCTTAAAAAAATATTTAAAAGTTGTATCAGTTCATTTAAGTTTGTACCAGTTATTTTAATTGAAGTTTGTGTCAGTTATTTCAATTTAAGTTTGTGTCAGTTATTTTAATTAATTTTGTGTCAGTTATTTTAATTAATTTTGTGTCAGTTATTTAAATTAAGTTTGTGAGAGTTATTTCAATTTAAGTTTGTGTCAGTTATTTTAATTAAGTTTGTGTCAGGTATTTTAATTTAAGTTTGTGTCAGTTATTTTAATTAAGTTTGTGTCAGTTATTTCACTTTAAGTTTGTGTCAGTTATTTCAATTTAAGTTTGTGTCAGTTATTTTAATTAAGTTTGTGATCCTTATCTCTTACTTCAATTTAAGTTTCCAGTAGCTATTTAAATTTAAAATTACAATAGTCATGTTTTAAAAATATAGTTACATGTTACCATTTCCTTATATTAGTTTTTAAGAAATTAAAAAAATATTTAATTTAATTTATTGATTCTTTGTGAAAGAAAAATCCATTTAAAAAAAAAATATTTTTTACCATTGTACCTAGACATCTGCAATACAATGCTATTCACAAATATCGTTTTTTTAATGTTTTTTTATTGAACATTTCAACTTTCATGAATTTTCTGATTAAATAAAACACTGATGATAGCCAAATGAATACTTACAGCCAAACCTTGTGGGCCAAGGTTACCTCGTGGTCCTGGTGGTCCTGGTGGTCCCTTCATTCAATAAAATAGCTCATTAGATGATTATAAAATAAGAAAGTTTAGTGGTAAAAATATAAGAAATTAACCCTCTAGTGACTAGTTGTAAATCTTTAATATTTCTTCATCAAGATTAGAAGAAAAAAAAATTCTAGAGGCGGAAATATAAAATATTAAATTTTTTTAACAAGCTACATTGACTTGTTGCTACACAAATTTGACACTACATTGACTTGATCCTACACAAATTTGACACCACATTGACTTGATCCTACACAAATTTGACACCACATTGACTTATTGATCCTACACAAATTTGACACCACATTGACTTGATCCTACACAAATTTGACACCACATTGACTTGATCCTACACAAATTTGACACCACATTGACTTGTTGCTACACAAATTTGACACTACATTGACTTGATCCTACACAAATTTGACACCACATTGACTTGATCCTACACAAATTTGACACCACATTGACTTGATCCTACACAAATTTGACACCACATTGACTTGATCCTACACAAATTTGACACCACATTGACTTGATCCTACACAAATTTGACACCACATTGACTTGATCCTACACAAATTCGACACCACATTGACTTATTGATCCTACATTGACTTGACACTATTTAAAAACTTACAGGTTGTCCTGCCTCACCAGCAACACCTGCTTGACCCCTGTCACCTGGTGGACCCCTCTGTCCTTGAAGGCCTTGATCACCTGGAGCTCCAGGTTCTCCCTGAGGTTAATCAACAATATCAGTCATTAATTATTCCTTTTTAACAACCATGGCTCACTCATCAACATATTTAATTAGGCTGTTTTATGAAATGAGTAAAACCATCAAGGTATTGAGCTTTCTAATATTTTACATATGTAATCATAATGAAGCTGCACTTCAGCAGTTATACTACACCTACACTACAGTTATCATAATACACCTACAATAGAAAACTTAGTCTGGCTCTTGTCTACAGATAAACTACAAAACTTACTCTCACTCCTGTCTACAGATGAACTAGAAACTTACTCTGGCTCCTGTCTACAGATCAACTACAAAACTTACTCTGGCTACTGTCTAAACTACAAAACTTACTCTGGGTCCTGTCTAAACTACAAAACTTACTCTGGCTCCTGTCTAAACTACAAAACTTACTCTGGCTCCTGTCTAAACTACAAAACTTACTCTGGCTTCTGTCTACAGCTGAACTACAAAACTTACTCTGGCTCCTGTCTAAACTACAAAACTTACTCTGGCTCCTGTCTACAGCTGAACTATAAAACTTACTCTGGCTCCTGTCTAAACTACAAAACTTACTCTGGCTCCTGTCTAAACTACAAAACTTACTCTGGCTCCTGTCTACAGCTGAACTACAAAACTTACTCTGGCTCCTGTCTAAACTACAAAACTTACTCTGGCTCCTGTCTACAGCTGAACTACAAAACTTACTCTGGCTCCTGTCTAAACTACAAAACTTACTCTGGCTCCTGTCTACAGCTGAACTACAAAACTTACTCTGGCTCCTGTCTAAACTACAAAACTTACTCTGGCTCCTGTCTAAACTACAAAACTTACTCTGGCTCCTGTCTACAGCTGAACTACAAAACTTACTCTGGCTCCTGTCCAAACAACAATACTTACTCTGGCTCCTGTCTAAACTAAAAAAACTTACCCTGGCTCCTGCGGCTCCTGCTGCCCCTTGGGCTCCTGGCTTCCCAGCCTCTCCTTGTCTTCCAGGAATACCTGGAGGTCCCTGTTGGCCAGCTATTCCCTGTAAACAGAGATTACAGTACATACACATAGATTTACATAAGTAAGTCCCATAAGCATTTACACATTTTATGCCACAGAAAATAAAACTGTTTTTGAATTAAAAGAGGTAACAGGCTGTAAAAGATGTTTTTTTTTGTTTAGGTATTTTTTCTTTGAGTTTTATAGAGGAGTCACAATGCACCATAAAAGAGGCCTTAAAGAAATGTGTATTACGTAACATTTTGAATCAGTGTTTGAATATTGTATTGCTTTGCATTACAGTGTATTGTATCCCATCACAGATTATTGTATCACATCATATCCGATTGTATTTGACAGTTTGGTGTTTAAAGAATCTTGATTGGTAGGCTATATCAGGTGGTGAAAGCTTCTTATAAAAGGGAAGAAAGCAATGAGAACTAAGAAAGGGAAGAGACTTACTTGAAGTCCAGCAACTCCTTGAGGCCCTGGTGGTCCATCAGAACCAGATGGTCCCTGAATTTAATTTTGAAATTTATTAAAAACTATTGATGGTGTTTTTTTTAAATCTAACCTGACAGTGTGCAAGTCTTTAAAAAAAATATGATAAAACTTTATGTTTGAGAAAAGAAGCTAATCTTCTATTTCTTGCACTGACAATATTTTTTTTACTAAATTTTCTTATTAACCAATGCAAAAAATATGTTATTTCATAAATATGTAAGTTTAAATAATAGCTAAAAGGAAGTAAAAATAATGGCTAAAATATAATACAGAAGCGTAGTCAAGAAGATTCCTTGTACTAAAATCAAATTCAGTAATATTAGTAGAACTTATTACATAAATATTTATCTACATTTAAGCATTAATGTTTAGTAATGTACCAGATTTACAAAAATAAATTATTCAAAATCAACAAACCTAGAAATATTTAACAAGAGTAATATTTAAAATGTCTTACAGCTTGGCCCATGGCTCCTTGTTGTCCTACAGGTCCTTGGTCTCCCTTAGGTCCTGGTGGTCCAGGTTGTCCATCTCTTCCATTAGCTCCGTTTCTGCCGGGTGGTCCCTAAAGCATTAAATGAATTTATGGAATGTATTCTGAATAGAATAACATTTATGTATACATTTCTAGATAAATTACAACAAAACATGATTATTGTTTAGAATATCTGCAAACATTTTCTTCTGATAATTGAAAATTTATATTTGCCATAATACTAGCTACGTAAGCAGGTAATTTAAATACATTTAACTATTACAGCATATTCTTAATAATTTTAACTTTTAAAATCTGCCACAGCTTAAATGATGAAATAAAAAATATATTATTTTAATCCATTATCAAAATTCTAATCCCAACAACATTTAACTACAAACCGAACAAATAAAACCAAACAACTATCACCCAGGTAAAACAATTTGTGTAGGCCGACATTGAAAAGTTAAACAGACTTACAGGCTCTCCCCTTGCACCTTGTTCACCAGCTGGACCAGGAGCACCTGGACTTCCTGCAGGTCCAGGCTCACCATCTGCTCCCTGTTTGCCTTCCAATCCCTGGTGGTGTAGATTAGTTCAAGCAAACAGTTACATAATTATAGAAGTCTTCCATAGTTGGTGTAGATAAGTTCAAACAAACAGTCACATAATTATAGAAATCAGTCTTCCATAGTTTATTTTAGTGTTGTTAACAGTATTTTAGTGTACTGAATCTGAATGGGTAGGACAGTATGTGTGTAGTGGAATCTTTTAAAGCTGTTTATGTGTCAGTTAATTTTTTATTATATATGCTAAAATTATATATTTAAACATATTGTAAGTATCTAAGTCAATGCAATTCAAAATTTATTTATTCTTTCATTATAAAATACATTTACTATATTAACATAAAATTCAACCTACTTTAATATTAAAAAACAAAACTAAAAGCTTAACTTAAGTGTAACTACAGCTACACATACATTTTTATAAATTCATACTTACAGCTACAACTATAGACTGTTTTTCAAATATATACTTACAGCTAGAACTACAGGTAGTTTTAAAAATATATACTTATAGCTATAGCTACAGGTAGTTTACAAATGTATACTTATAGCTACAACTGCAGGTAGTTTACCAATGTATACTTACAGCCACACCTACTACACCTCGTGGACCTTCTTTACCAGGATAACCTGGAGATCCCTAAAATAAAAATTTGAAGGTGTCAAAATTTTTCAGTTGTGAATCTTTCAATTATTTGTTACAGATTTAAATGTAGATCCTCATAAAACAGGGCTCAACAACTATTTGTGCTACTAATAGAACTTCTAACAGATCTGTTAGAAACTAATATCTTTTGAAAACTATTTAATGATTGTAAATAAATTTGGAGAGAAAAAAACTTACTCGTTGTCCAGGGGATCCAGCGGGTCCAGGTGGCCCTGGCTGACCCTAAGAAATATGTAAATCTTTAGAGGTTGTTTACAAAACATAACCAAAAAGGTTTTAAAATATGTAAATCTTTAGTTGCTGTTTACAAAACATAACCAAAATAAATTCTAAATATGTAAATCTTTAGAGGTTGTTTACAAAACATAACCAATATAAAATGTAAATATGTAAATCTTTAAAGGTTGTTTACAAAACATAACCAAAATTTTTTTATAATATGTAGATCTTTAGAGGTTGATTACAAAACATAACCATAATAGATTCTAAATATGTAAATCATTAGGGGTTGTTTACAAAACAAAACCAGTTTTTTTTTAAAAAATATGTGATCTTTAGAGGTTGTTTACAAAACATAACCAAAATAAACTCTAAATATGTAAATATTTAGAGGTTGTAGACCAAACTAAAAAAAACAGGTATAAAATTATGTAAATCTTTAGAGTTTGTTTACAAAGTATAACCACAAAAATAATTTAAAAATATGTAAATCTTTATTAGAAAGTGTCACTAAATAATTTGTAAATAAAGTTGAGAAGGCTGAGGGCAACTTACAGCGTTTCCTTGAGCACCTCGTTCACCTTGATCACCTTTGTCCCCATCTTTGCCATTAGCACCAGGTGAGCCTGAGGGTCCTGGGGGACCATTCAAACCAGGTGCACCCTGGTACAAGGATGTATATGTTAGATATTATTATTATAGACAGGAATATTGTTTTTTGTGTATAAATCTTACAGTTGCTGCTAATTTTTTTGTAAGATTCAATTAAAGAACGTTTCATGTAAATGATAATTTATGTCTTTGAAAAATGCATGTGTGTGTTTCACGAATTATTTAAAAATAAAAGATTCAAACGGACAATGCTTTGATACTTACAGATTCTCCCTGGGGTCCAGCAGGTCCTGGGGGTCCGGGGGGTCCGTTAGAGCCCTAACACAATTATAAAAAAAACATTTATCATTCTTTCAAAATGCAATCCTTTAAATTGTGTTAAATCATTGTAAATCACAAATTTAAATAGATGTTTAAGTACAAAAGTACTTAGATTAAAATTATAAATACTAAACTACTTATAATTTTTCAATTCAATTTAACAATTAGATAAGTTTGTCTGTATGTCCGAATGTAGAAAAAGCCAATAAAAGTTATGGAGAAAGGGAAAAATTTGATTTTCCGATTTAAATATTTGTGTGTTATTATTATTTTTTTAAGTCTCTCAGCTGTCAGGTTTTAGAAAATTAACTGCATGGTTGAATTGGAAGTGTGGTATACTTTAATAAATATGAATTTCTTATTAATGTGCATTTTTAGTTTCTTATACAAATAGGCCTATTGCTTAAATGTTTTATTAAAGGGAAAACAGCCAAATATCAACTAGGAATATTTGTAACAACATTTGTTTTTACTGTAAGTGGTTTGTTAAGATGGGGTTGGTCCGGAATTTATTTGTGATGAGAGGTTGAATTTGGTAGGGGCAGAGCATAGGGAGAGATTGCTGGTTTATTAGATGGTGTGGTGCAGCTTAAATGAAAATTGACTAAGTTTGTATGTCTGTCTCTCTGTCACTACCTCAGTATACGTAAGAGTATTCAAATTGGATAAAAAATTAGTTCATTCTGTACTCCATGTTGTTTCCATGAAAATGTGTCCTTGGGATCACTTAGGCAATTGAAAATCTAACCAAATATAAATGTTTTTTACGTTTTATATATTTTTCCAACAGGCTTTACAGCCAGTAAAAGATATATACAAGTATATGTATATAAATGTATAAGTATATGTGTATCAGTACATGTATACACAGATATACATAAATAAATATATTGGTATACTGACCCTACTTATAGATGTACATTCACATATTTATGTTTCATAAAAATATATGTTTTCTAACCAAAATCAAAAAATTAAAAACCCATTTTAAAAATACCGCGTTGGTGAAGAACAAATTGTGCCAGTTGCTTCATTTTACTATTAAAAGTTAACTTTCGTGTAAGGATCTCAGCAATAGTTTTGAATTTTAGTTAGTTAGTTGTGTCAACTTGCCCCTGTGACTTTTAGCCCCACCTTCCTCTTATAAATATATAGTTTAAAATAAACCAACCCTCTTTCTTAGCCCAACCTTCCCCTATAGATATATAGTTTAAAAATAAACCAATCCTCTTCCTTAACCCCACCTTCCCCTATAGATATATAGTTTTAAATAAACCTACCCTCTTTCTTAGATCCACCTTCCTCTATAGATATATAGTTAAAAAATCAACCAACCCTCTTTCTTAGCCCCACCTTCCCCTATAGATATATAGTTTAAAAAAAAACCAACCCTCTTTCTTAGCCCAACCTTCCCCTATAGATATATAGTTTAAAAATAAACCAATCCTCTTCCTTAACCCCACCTTCCCCTATAGATATATAGTTTTAAATAAACCTACCCTCTTTCTTAGATCCACCTTCCTCTATAGATATATAGTTAAAAAATCAACCAACCCTCTTTCTTAGCCCCACCTTCCTCTATAGATATAGAGTTTAAAAAAAAACCAACCCTCTTTCTTAACCCCACCTTCCCCTATAGATATATAGTTTAAAAATGAACCAACCCTCTTTCCTTCCTGTCCTGGCAGGCCTGGGGAACCTCTTTCTCCAGGTGGTCCAGCATTACCTCTGGCACCTGGTTCTCCTTGTGAGCCTGGTTGTCCATCACGTCCCTAGCAATAGAAAAAAAACAATCAAAGTATTTTAGTCGCTTTAGTCACTTTAAATCAAAGTATGAACGTATCTGACATTTTTAGTCACTTTAAACTAAAGTATGAACGTATCACACATTTTTAGTCACTTTAAACTAAAATAAGAACATATCTCACATTTTTAATTACCTTACACTTATTTTTGTAAGTGAAAGTAATTTGTGCGATCCAAACAGGTGTTTAAAAAATTAAAAACATTTACTTGTGTAAAAAAAAAACAAATTTTGTAATAAGAAAAAAAAACAATGTATTTGAAAGAAAACAAATATTGTAAGTATTACAGCATCTCCTTTGCCTCCAGGAAGACCTGACTCTCCAGCAGGTCCTGGTGGTCCTTGTGGGCCAGAGAATCCTGGCTGACCATTGGCACCTTGGGGTCCCTGGTTAACAGAAATAAAATGTTCATGTGGTCTACTTATAGAAATACTTTATACGAGCTTTATAAAGAAACACTTTCACACAATATTTGTAAAGAAACACTATCATACAATATATGTAAAAAAAAAAAAATAAACACTTTCATACCATATTTGTAAAGAAACACTATCATACAATATATGTAAAAAAAAATAAACACTTTCATACCATATTTGTAAAGAAACACTTTTATTTAGTCTATATAACTATTGCGTCCATACCAATGTTCTTATCTAATGGATCTTATCTTAAGCTAAATGTCACATACAAATAAAACACAAATATTTTAATATATGCCCTATACACAACAGTAAATGACAGCTTTTCCAACAAGGAAATAAAGAGTGAAGTTTTAAAGAACAAACAAGGCTATATAACAACATAACCTTCAGCTAAAAGTGAAGTTTTATACAAGGCTATCCAACAATGTAACCTTCAGCTAAGAGTGAAGTTTTATTCAAGGATATACAACAAAACTTACCCTTTCACCTTTGGGTCCAGGTGGGCCATCAGATCCCCTGTCTCCAGGTTTACCAGGAGGACCGGTTGAACCAGCTGCACCGTCAGAACCAGCAGGGCCGGGGGGTCCAGACTCACCAGAGGCACCAGCAATACCAGCGTCACCCTAATACATATGTTTTAATGATTGGCATCACAGTAATACGTAGTGGCTTACATATGTATTCAATGATTCACATCACCTTAATACATGTGGTTTTCATAAATATGTATTCAATGATTGGTGTCATCCTATACATATGTATTCACTGATATTAATATATATATATATATATATATATATATATATATATATATATATATAATGATTGGGATATTATGTCAAGTTTAACTTTTAATATGTCATTCTGGCGAAAATGATCTAAAAAAATTGCTTTTATATCTCTAAAAGAAAATATTTTAAAATTAAACTAAAAATAATTTCTGACTTTAAAAAGGTAGATAAAAAAACCTGATAAAAGCTTGTTTACCTTTTGTCCTTGAGCACCGGGGAATCCAGGGTTACCTGGTGGTCCAGGGGGTCCAGATGGCCCGGAACTTCCAGGTGCACCATCGTCACCTCTCTGACCCTAAAGTACATGACAAAAAAGTTGTTAGAATAGTGACCATTACAAATATATTTGACGTTTGATCAGTTATTTTTATTCTAAGCCAGATTTTAAAAAAGAGAAGGGGTGTTTTAAAGTGGGTGTGTTGAAAGGATGTTTTCATAGAATATCTTGCTAACTGATGAAAAGTTTAAAAAAGATATGTTTGCATCTATGCCAATAACAAAAAATGTTTAGGTCTATACCAACAAAACAATGATTGGATCTACACCAATAAAAGACAAAAGCATAGAGTGCAAGCACACTAAAGTATTACCTGTTGTCCAGGGGCACCGTCACGTCCCCTGTCTCCTGGGGAGCCACGAGGTCCAAGCTGACCAGGTGCACCAGCAGGTCCTGCAGGTCCAGCACTGCCCTGAGGGGTTGGACATTAGAGAGCTGGTCATTTGCTCATTTGACACATGGATATTACACCACACACTGACATAGACACGTACACACACACATATATGTATATATATATATCTATCAATCTCTCTCTCTCTCTCGCTCTCTCTCTCTCTCTCTCTCTCTCTCTCTCTCTCTATATATATATATATATATATATATATATATATATATATATATATATATATATATATATATCAGCAAATGTTTAAACAAAGGGTAGAATAAAAATAGATGAAGTGCTTACCTTTTCACCATTTCGTCCACGTTGTCCTTCTTGTCCATCTCTACCAGGGAAACCCTAAATCATGCAATAAATACATACATATGATCATTGACTGATAAAGTATATATATATTACATACAATCATACTTACTATATTCAATATGTAAATCCAACTAGTAATTAGATTTATATTATTTTTAAACATTGCATAAGTAATAATGCAACAGCAGGTCTTTATAGTAAGGACACTATTTGGCTCAATAACAGTATAAACTACACTCTTAAATTGAAATAGTAAATTTGATTGAAATATTTTTTTTTATTAACTTGATAATTTAAAAAAATTAAAACTTCAACAGTTTTCTTGGCAATTCGTGCTAATATATCTAGTAAAAAAATAGGATTTTCTTAAAAAGGGAAAAATGATATCTCAATTTGAATAAAAAATAAATATCTCTGAATGACTGTAAGGAGTTTTACAGTAACTCACCCTGTGTCCTTTAGGTCCAGGCATGCCAGGAATACCAGGTCGACCACTTTCACCCTAAACAGAAGAAAAAGAGTGTGTAAATAATTGTGTTTTGTTTCTTAGAATGGGAAAATTATGTGGGTTGCAATTCTTAAATTTATGTTTAATATTCCATGTTTTATGTTTTCCATGCTTGCTTGATGTCATCTCTATGTAAGTACTTACAGCAGGGCCAATAGCACCAACAGGGCCAACATCTCCAGGTGATCCCTCATCTCCCTAGTGAAGAGACAGAACAATTCACATTTTATTCTCACATATTTGTAAACATTAGGCAGATTAGCAATTGTAAAAGATTTAAAATAAATTTATAAATGTAACAATTATGTGTTTGTTTAATACTTTAAAGCCCCTAAGGAGCAAAGGGCTGTAGCTACACCAGTTACAGTTATAAAAAGTAGCAAAAGGCTATGGCTACACCTGTTACAGTTATAAATAGTAGCAAGGGCTATGGCTACACCTGTTACAGTTATAAAAAGTAGCAAGGGCTAATGCTACACTTGTTACAGTTATAAAAAGTAGCAAGGACTACAGCTACACCTGTTACAGTTATAAAAAGTAGCAAGGGCTACAGCTACACCTGTTACAGTTATAAAAAGTAGCAAGGACTACAGCTACACCTGTTACAGTTATAAAAAGTAGCAAAGGGCTGTAGCTACACCTGCTACAGTTATAAAAAGTAGCAAGGGCTATGGCTACACCTGTTACAGTTATAAATAGTAGCAAAAGGCTATGGCTACACCTGTTACAGTTATAAAAAGTAGCAAGGGCTACGGCTACACCTGTTACAGTTATAAAAAGTAGCAAAGGGCTATGGCTACACCTGTTACAGTTATGACGTGCCTAAAATATCTCCACAACCTACCTCTGGCCCAGGTGGTCCAGGTGGTCCGGGAAGTCCACGAGCGCCAGGTGTGCCCTGGTCATCAATTACAAAAAAACAAATTTTAAAGTTAGCTCAAAAACTCCAGTAATTTGAAAAAATAACATTAGAATTAATTAATATTAACTAAACATTGAGCTGTGCATCTCAGCTGATATTTTAAAATAATAAAATAATATGCTATCATTGCTTTAAACTTTAGTAACTAGATCATGCACATATTTTTTAACTCTAAAAAAGTTATATTTAAATAAGAACTCTTATATGTATGAGTTAGGAAATAGTTCAAATGTACGCACTGGTGGACCAGGATCTCCCTGTTCTCCTCTAGCACCTTGGTAGCCTGGTTGTCCCTGAGGGTGGAGTTGGTCAAACAAATTATTTTTTTAAACTTTTGCAGAACATTTTTCTGGCAATATTGACATTTTACTTACACTATTCATTTTCTGTTGTTTTTTTTTGTTTTTTTTTTACATTATAAGAATAAAGAGAACATGTTATCTTTAATAACATTTATTTTAAATAATTATAACATTTAGTAATATATTTTACTAGATTGATCTCAGTATGTAGTTGAAAAATCTATTTATTCTATAAGCCAGTAGTTAAGGGGAAGTAAAGCAAAATTTAAAGCTAGAAACTAAAGCAAGAGTTAAAGGGGAAGTAAAACAAGAATTAAAGCTAGGAAGTAAAGTAAGAGTTAAGGGAAAGTAAAGCAAGAGTTAAAGGGGAGTTAAAGAAAGGAAATAGAGCAAGAGTTAAATGGGAAGTAAAGTAAGAGTTAAAATTGAAGTAAAGCAACATAGAGTAAGTTAAAAAAAGAGTAAAAGGGGAAGTAAAAAAAATCTTACAGGTGGTCCAGCGGGTCCAGGTGCACCTCTTGGTCCAGGTGCTCCCTACAGAGGCAACAGAACATCTTAAGTTAGTTTAAGTTACATAGGCTACTTATCAACGTTGATAAGCTACTTAGGCTACTTATCAACATTGAATACCTTATCCCAGCTACACATTTCCTTTATCATACCACTTTTGTGTCCTTCTAATTTTACAATACACAGATTTTAACTATGGTTATCATCTAGTTAGAATTATGATTTTTCTAGAATTCAGCAATGGTTTGTTATGTAGCTTATTATATAATTTGTTTTTAAATGAGTATGATATAAATAAAAGAGCAAATATAATCCTATTGACCATAATTCAGAGAATGAACTTAAAACATAAACTAAGGCAGTTGATGAGTAAAGAGTTAATATAATTCTTTTGTCCCATAGTAATCTAACACAATGGATGCTTATTTAACAGTATATTCAAGTAAATCAAACAAAAGCTTCCTGTGTAGATATTAAAAATCCCAGAGACTATGTTCAAACACATACAATCTAGCTTGATTATCCTAGTGAAAAGATCATACACCGTATGACTATGTTAAACACATACAATCTAGCTTGATTATCCTAGTGAAAAGATCATACACCGTATGACTATATTCAAACACATACAATCTAGCTTGATTATCCTAGTGACAAAGATCATACAATGTATGACTATGTTCAAACACATACAATCTAGCTTGATTATCCTAGTGACAAAGATCATACATGGTATGACTATGTTCAAACACAAACAATCTAGTTTGACTATCCTAGTGACTAAGATCATACACCGTATGACTATGTTCAAACACATACAATCTAGATCTAGCTTGATTTTCCTAGTGACAAAGATCATACACCATATATGTCATGACTATGTTCAAACACATACAATCTAGATCTAGCTTGATTTTCCTAGTGACAAAGATCATACACCATATATGTCATGACTATGTTCAAACACATACAATCTAAATCTAGCTTGATTTTCCTAGTGACAAAGATCATACACCATATGTCATGACTATGTTCAAACACATACAATCTAAATCTAGCTTGATTATCCTAGTGACAAAGATCATACAATGTATGACTATGTTAAACAAATACAATCTAGCTTGATTATCCTGGTGACAAAGGTAATACACTACATGACAATGTTCAAACAAAGTCTAGCTTGACTATCCTAGTGACTAAGATCATACACCGTATGACTATGTTCAAACACATACACTCTAGATCTAGCTTGATTTTCCTAGTGACAAAGATCATACACCATATATGTCATGACTATGTTCAAACACATACAATCTAGATCTAGCTTGATTTTCCTAGTGACAAAGATCATACACCGTTTATGTCATGACTATGTTCAAACACATACAATCTAAATCTAGCTAGATTATCCTAGTGACTAAGATCATACACCATATATGTCATGACTATGTTCTAACACATACAATCTAAATCTAGCTTGATTTTCCTAGTGAAAAGATCATACACCGTATGACTATGTTAAACACATACAATCTAGCTTGATTATCCTAGTGAAAAGATCATACACCGTATGACTATATTCAAACACATACAATCTAGCTTGATTATCCTAGTGACAAAGATCATACAATGTATGACTATGTTCAAACACATACAATCTAGCTTGATTATCCTAGTGACAAAGATCATACATGGTATGACTATGTTCAAACACAAACAATCTAGTTTGACTATCCTAGTGACTAAGATCATACACCGTATGACTATGTTCAAACACATACAATCTAGATCTAGCTTGATTTTCCTAGTGACAAAGATCATACACCATATATGTCATGACTATGTTCAAACACATACAATCTAGATCTAGCTTGATTTTCCTAGTGACAAAGATCATACACCATATATGTCATGACTATGTTCAAACACATACAATCTAAATCTAGCTTGATTTTCCTAGTGACAAAGATCATACACCATATGTCATGACTATGTTCAAACACATACAATCTAAATCTAGCTTGATTATCCTAGTGACAAAGATAATACAATGTATGACTATGTTAAACAAATACAATCTAGCTTGATTATCCTGGTGACAAAGGTAATACACTACATGACAATGTTCAAACAAAGTCTAGCTTGACTATCCTAGTGACTAAGATCATACACCGTATGACTATGTTCAAACACATACACTCTAGATCTAGCTTGATTTTCCTAGTGACAAAGATCATACACCATATATGTCATGACTATGTTCAAACACATACAATCTAGATCTAGCTTGATTTTCCTAGTGACAAAGATCATACACCGTTTATGTCATGACTATGTTCAAACACATACAATCTAAATCTAGCTAGATTATCCTAGTGACTAAGATCATACACCATATATGTCATGACTATGTTCTAACACATACAATCTAAATCTAGCTTGATTATCCTGGTGACAAAGATCATACACCGTATGTATGACAGGAAACCTACAGGAGCAAAGAATCCTTGTTGAGGTCCATAGCTAGGTCCAGCTTTGTCTCCATTGGTTGCCTGTTGGCTTTGGGCGGCATTCTGAAATATGGAATGGGGGGGGGGATGTAGATTTAAATTATTTGTTGAATTTATTATATAATATGACCACTATGACGATTGCAGTGATATACTCAAATATACTGTGAAAGAAATTTTTAAAATTTTGATTTTGCTCGAAACTAAATTAAATTATTATCAACACCGACTTTTTTCAAAAGTTAAATATAAAAATAACTAACTAGATATATTAATCGATTTGAGGTCTATAACATTCGTAAAAATAAAACAACGTACTTTATAATTAAGCAAACCTTAGAGGGCTGATTTTAATTTTAAAAATATTTTTATTCATCAAAATTTGTGAATTGTGTCCCTTGAAAACTAAAACAAAAACGATAACTCACTGTAACTGGACCTTATGAGAAATATAGGTTGTCTCCCATTTAAGATTTCAAAAAAACAAAATGTTTTCAAGTAATTTAAGTCTACGGTGGTTTTGTTTTTTACGAGTTTTTTTTTCTATTTGCTTTGTCTACTGTTAATTAGTTAAAAATTTAGAAAAGGCTATTTGAACAGTAAGATTTGGATCTCGTCTAGATTAGATTATCCCAACACAAAATGTCGAATGTATTGTAATGATTAAATAGTAAAATATTTTTTTTAGTCACAGTTGAAACCAATTATTTTTGCTTTTCTTTTTTTTAATTAAAAAAGTAAATGAATTATTAATTACCGTGTCTACAGCCGCCTCGCCCCTTTCTCTGGCAACTTCGTTGATCCCTTCTGTAAACAAACAAAAAATACTTTATCACTTTCCTTCTATTTGGCTTTAAACAGTGGGAAAAAGAATTCATAAAATATAAAAATTTCTAACCAATTTTTTACAATCTGCTCAGGAAGTAAAATTAATTCATAATTTATAATTTATAACTAACTTTTCACGAGTATAAGAAAAAGAAACTAATACGTTATATCCTATATATATATATATATATATATATATATATATATATATATATATATATATATATATATATATATATATATATATAGTCAGTATTAGGTTCAAATTAAACAATGTACGGATGTTAGATCTAACATTAGTAAATTAGTATTTAAAGCTGTTGTACTCAAGCAGCAAAGATTTAGACAACACTCAGATTTAGTGTTGTTGTTTTTTTATTAAGAAGGAAAATGTGATGATTAATTTCAACCTCGATGCGTTTAAACATGCATGCTGTACATCGACCCATAAAAAAATTAATTTCGGATTTTTGTTCGGCATTAAAATTAATAACTTCATCTTACTATGGGGCTGAAGTAATTCCGTGTACTTTCGTCTTTCCCATCATACTTTTTTTTACAAGTCCGCCCACTCCCAAGGGGCGTAATAAAAACCGGTATAAAAGAGCAGGAAAGGGGTATCTGTACCTGGGCACTGTACGCAACACTCCCCCTCCACCTTGTAGGGTTCCGAGCCGTCAGCGCATACCGTCACCTCCCCGCACTCTATGTATTCACACTTCGTCTCCCCCCGAACACATTTGCACTTGTAGCAGGGGTCCTCGGAGTATGGGAAAAACACCTCCCCCTCCTTAATTTTCGCCTTGGTCACCGGGTCTTCGCAAGTACCACTCCCTGGATGGATAGGAAAGATCCTACGATAAAGATCAAACAAATTCTTCCTGTGTAGACGTAGAAGATCCTAAAGATCAAATAATGTTTCCTGTGTAGACTTACAAGATCCTAAAGATCAAATAAAAGCTTCCTTTGTAGACTTACAAGATCCTACGACAAAGATCAATTAAATATTTCAATATGTAGACATCCAAGATCACATAGACCCCGTTAATGCAAAACTAAAGATCACTAAGACGAAGATCAAACAAACGCTTCCAGTGTACACTTACAAGATCCACGATACAGATCAAAGAAATGACTACATAATTATGTAGAGTTTTAAAGATCCTTTAGTCCAATACCAATGCAACTTTGTTTATGCAAACTAAATATCACAAAGACGAAGATCAAGCTTCCTGTGTAGATCTATAAGATCCTACGAGAAAGATCATACAAATATTTCCATGTGTGACGTAACAGATCATAGAGATAAAGCTCAATCAGCTCAGGTTGGAAGGTCCTAGGACGAAAATATTTCTACAACTCCTATTAGCACTCCCAGTGACGAATACAGAACAAAGAATAGGATTGACAGATCTTCGCGACAAAGATAATCAGGGTCGGCGCTACCTATAAGGCGAACTAGGCGCTGTCCGTAGGAGGGGGGGGGGGGCGCCAAACTGGGTTGGGAAAACAAATTTAAAGTTTGAGCGGGGGGGGGGGGGGGGGAAACGAAAGTTTGAAGGTGTGGGGATGCAAATCGAAAGTTTGTCCCCGGGCGCCGGGAAGGGTCGCTACGCCTCTGATAATACGGGGGCACACAAAAAATTGCGGGGAGGGGGGCGCTTTTAATAAGTTTTGCCTAGGGCGCTAAATAAACTGGCGCCGGCAATGAAGATCATACATCATAACTTCATTGACATTAAGATATTAACGGGGGGGGGGGGGGGTCAATATCATACCTAACCACTATTGTTTTACTGGCAGTGTTTCTTCCAGACTTTTTTCTCCGGGGGGGGGGCACTTGAAATTTTCGGGGGGGGGGGGGCGGTAGACTTTCTTCGGGGGGGGGGGGGGGTGGACACTGTTAAAAGTATATATTTTCTATATAAATTATATAAATTTAATTTCGTTCGGGGGGGGGGGCGGTAAAAAATTTTCGGGGCGGCTTCGCCCCCCCCCCCCCCCCGAAGAGATGGCTGGAAGAAACTCTGTTTACTGGCATTACAGATCTCAGTGACAAACATCAAACTCAATACACCCCTTCAATCGACAAAAAACATCACAGAAGATCAAACATAAAATTCCCCTTTAGTTATCAAATGTGTTTATGTCACAATCTCATCACAAATACCAAGAAATATACAATTCTTATCATTCCACGATGAATTCCTCTTATATAAAATTTTCCGAACTCCTCGCTGAATTCCCCAAAGAGTTGTTACCATAAGAAGGACATCTATTAATTATTGCTTCATTAATTATTCCAATTAAAGAATGTTCTCAAGTATCACGTGCAGTATTTAATGTTAACATATTTTTTGCATTTGTAAAATTATTCCAATCATTAGAATTCTTTAATTTTTCCTTAAAATATAAGGTTACGGTATACTCAGGTATGAAAGAATAAAATATCACAATACGTTAGATCGTATAATAGTGTAACAACTAAACGATACAAAAATAAAATATTTCGAAACTGTAACTAAGAAAATAAAGTCTTTTTTAACTTCCTCAACAATGATATACATATATTTTAATCGGCCTACATAGGGCCCAAATATCTCGTAGCTTTTTGCCAATGCCAGCCTCAAGTAAAAATAAATAGAGCCAGCAGGTTGTAAAGGTGACAGCTACATACACACTCACATACACACACAAATCTAGTCCCACGATGTTGACACTGCACCAATCTAGTCCCACGATGTTGACACTGCACCATTCTAGTCCCACGATGTTGACACTGCACCAATCTAGTCCCACGGACACTGCACCAATCTAGTCCCACGATGTTGACACTGCACCAATCTAGTCCCACGATGTTGACACTGCACCAGTCTAGTCCCACGATGTTGACACTGCACCAATCTAGTCCCACGGACACTGCACCAATCTAGTCCCACGATGTTGACACTGCACCAATCTAGTCCCACGATGTTGACACTGCACCAATCTAGTCCCACGATGTTGACACTGCACCAATCTAGTCCCACGATGTTGACACTGCACCAATCTAGTCCCACGATGTTGACACTGCACCAATCTAGTCCCACGATGTTGACACTGCACCAATCTAGTCCCACGGACACTGCACCAATCTAGTCCCACGGACACTGCACCAATCTAGTCCCACGATGTTGACACTGCACCAATCTAGTCCCACGATGTTGACACTGCACCAATCTAGTCCCACGATGTTGACACTGCACCAATCTAGTCCCACGATGTTGACACTGCACCAATCTAGTCCCACGGACACTGCACCAATCTAGTCCCACGGACACTGCACCAATCTAGTCCCACGGACACTGCACCAATCTAGTCCCACGATGTTGACACTGCACCAATCTAGTCCCACGATGTTGACACTGCACCAATCTAGTCCCACAATGTTGACACTGCACCAATCTAGTCCCACGATGTTGACACTGCACCAATCTAGTCCCACGATGTCGACACTGCACCAATCTAGTCCCACGATGTTGACACTGCACCAATCTAGTCCCACGATGTTGACACTGCACCAATCAAGTCCCACGGACACTGCGCCAATCTAGTCCCACGATGGTGACACTGCACCAATCTAGTCCCACGATATTGACACTGCACCAATCTAGTCCCACGATGTTGACACTGCACCAATCTAGTCCCACGATGTTGACACTGCACCAATCTAGTCCCACGGACACTGCACCAATCTAGTCCCACGATGTTGACACTGCACCAATCTAGTCCCACGATGTTGACACTGCACCAATCTAGTCCCACAATGTTGACACTGCACCAATCTAGTCCCACGATGTTGACACTGCACCAATCTAGTCCCACGATGTTGACACTGCACCAATCTAGTCCCACGATGTTGACACGGCACCAATCTAGTCCCACGGACACTGCACCAATCTAGTCCCACGATGTTGACACTGCACCAATCTAGTCCCACGATGTTGACACTGCACCAATCTAGTCCCACGGACACTGCACCAATCTAGTCCCACGGACACTGCACCAATCTAGTCCCACGATGTTGACACTGCACCAATCTAGTCCCACGATGTTGACACTGCACCAATCTAGTCCCACGATGTTGACACTGCACCAATCTAGTCCTACAATGTTGACACTGCACCAATCTAGTCCCACGGACACTGCACCAATCTAGTCCCACGATGTTGACACTGCACCAATCTAGTCCCACGATGTTGACACTGCACCAATCTAGTCCCACGATGTTGACACTGCACCAATCTAGTCCCACGATGTTGACACTGCACCAATCTAGTTCCACGATGTTGACACTGCACCAATCTAGTCCCACAATGTTGACACTGCACCACTCTGGTCCCACGATGTTGACACTGCACCAATCTAGTCCCACGGACACTGCACCAATCTAGTCCCACGGACACTGCACCAATCTAGTCCCACGGACACTGCACCAATCTAGTCCCACAGACACTGCACCAATCTAGTCCCACGGACACTGCACCAATCTAGTCCCACGATGTTGACACTGCACCAATCTAGTCCCACGATGTTGACACTGCACCAATCTAGTCCCACGGACATTGCGCCAATCTAGTCCCACAGACACTGCACCAATCTAGTACCACGATGTTGACACTGCACCAATCTAGTCCCACGATGTTGACACTGCACCAATCTAATCCCACGATGTTGACACTGCACCAATCTAGTCCCACGATGTTGACACTACACCAATCTAGTCCCACGATGTTGACACTGCACCAATCTAGTCCCACGGACACTGCACCAATCTAGTCCCACGATGTTGACACTGCACCAATCTAGTCCCACGGACACTGCACCAATCTAGTCCCACGATGTTGACACTGCACCAATCTAGTCCCACGGACACTGCACCAATCTAGTCCCACGGACACTGAACAATCTAGTCCCACGATGTTGACACTGCACCAATCTAGTCCCACGGACACTGCACCAATCTAGTCCCACAGATATTGCACCAATCTAGTCCCACGGACACTGCACCAATCTAGTCCCACGATGTTGACACTGCACCAATCTAGTCCCACGATGTTGACACTGCACCAATCTAGTCCCACAATGTTGACACTGCACCAATCTAGTCCCACGATGTTGACACTGCACCAATCTAGTCCCACGATGTTGACACTGCACAAATCTAGTCCCACGATGTTGACACTGCACCAATCTAGTCCCACGATGTTGACACTGCACCAATCTAGTCCCACGGACACTGCACCAATCTAGTCCCACGATGTTGACACTGCACCAATCTAGTCCCACGATGTTGACACTGCACCAATCTAGTCCCACGATGTTGACACTGCACCAATCTAGTCCCACGATGTTGACACTGCACCAATCTAGTCCCACGGACACTGCACCAATCTAGTCCCACGATGTTGACACTGCACCAATCTAGTCCCACGATGTTGACACTGCACCAATCTAGTCCCACGGACACTGCACCAATCTAGTCCCACGATGTTGACACTGCACCAATCTAGTCCCACGTTGTTGACACTGCACCATTCTAGTCCCACGGACACTGCACCAATCTAGTCCCACGGACGCTGCACCAATCTAGTCCCACGATGTTGACACTGCACCAATCTAGTTCCACGATGTTGACACTGCACCAATCTAGTTCCACGGACACTGCACCAATCTAGTCCCACGATGTTGACACTGCACCAATCTAGTCCCACGATGTTGACACTGCACCAATCTAGTCCCACGGACACTGCACCAATCTAGTTCCACGATGTTGATACTGCACCAATCTAGTC